AAAAAGTACTTCTGGAGAGAATCCAGTGGGAACATTAATGACAGTATATATCTATATTTTCCATGTTTAGTTCCATTTATGTTTGGCTCTGAGTGAGACAATGATCCGAAAGAGTGGACAATTGCATGGAGTGCTTCGTTGTGAATGACATCTTCAACTTCTAAACGAAAAGAGGAATAATTAAGAAATTGGTGAACTTTGAATGGGTGGGCCGCTTTTGCAGAATTTAGCGATTTTGAGCCTTCGAGATATTTCAGTAGGGTTTCGCAATCAAAAAAAAATTTAATGCGATTATGTCATTCTTTACAGCGCTTGTCAAACTTTAGCATGATACAATACAATGCAATGCCACGTAAAATTCTCTCGAATGATCTCCATTTTAGTGGTCACAATTGGCGGTGAATTCAAATAAGCAACACTACAATCAGCCCAGCATGACTGACTGCATCACACATACAATTTGGTCAAAATAAATTTTGATATTTATGTGAAATGAAAGTTTAATTTGTCCCGTGAAACAAAACCACTAGCGGTGACAAAAAAAAAAATACCTAAATCTTAAAGTATACTCTTCGCTTTCGAATCAATTTTCTATCGGTCGTAGTAAGAGAATGTCGTATGTCGTTTGTCGTTGGGCATTGGATGAAGAAGAAAAGTTTCGTATATTACCCTTCAGTAATGCTACTTTCGTACGAAGCAGAAACCAACTGAGAAACAACATAGAAAAAGAAAATGAAAATGAAAAAAAAAAAAAGTCGAATCGATGTAGCCATCAAATCAACCTTTTCAATTACTAAAAGCACCTAGAGCACCCCTGAAGATTAGGATAGTTAATGACTTTCTCATAAAAAGCAAAAACCAAAAGATTATTGAAAAATAAAATAAAAATAAAGTTCGGTCTACCTATAACCGTTGATTGGATTCTTCCAATTACTTTACAGCCTTTTTTTTCTAAAAACAAAGCGCAAACTAAACTGTGAGGAAGGCTTGTGGCTTTTTCGTTTCCGAAGTTTCTGATTGTTGCATGTGATCAAAGAGAGGAACAATTAAAAAATAGATTTTGATCGGTCAGTAGTTACATTAAGCAGGAATTCAACTTTTAAAGATTTGTCTTTGACGTTTACAATGTCGCTTTCATAATGAACATAAATAGGCTTATCTGTCAGTACCGTGTAAATAATGTTTCTCGTTTCCTATTACAAAAGTCAAATTTTGCGAAATATTTTATGATCACCTCCCTATTTTTCTTAATTCGTAAAATTTTTACATTTAATAATCGAAAAACGAGAGAAAGATCATAAGGAAAAAGGGATAGTACACAAGATCTGCATTTAGTGTAACAAATGAACCAGTTATCTCTCATCCCGACCTAACTAATACATGAACAGCAAATTTCTTCTAGTGCAGTAACACGTATCTCATGTAGTTATACAGGATTGTTGTCCGTTGATTTCCCAATCGACATCAACTTTCTGTCGCATTTTTTTTTCGGTTGTTAATGTTTCTTTCTGTATCTTCACTTAGTTTATACTCAAGCAACAGCTCTGACGGAACTTAAACCCTACCTTGCGCCGACTGCGGTACGAATTCTTCGATCTTTGTATCGCAGGAAAATTCTCAAACGTTCAAATCTGAATCAGTTAGAGAACTCATCTAAATCTTGACTAATAAAAGTGATGTGAACTTACATAGATATCTTTCGTCCGACTTGCTCTTTGCGATCACCTGTTCGAGGCATACGCAAATATGTTTTCCTTTCTAATACAATAACTGTTATGCTACTCGTTAGAGAGCCTCATTGCATATTTGGTTGTCAAACTGAAGGTGGATGACGTAAAAGTAATTGGGCTGAAATGTAAACCAAACAAGTCATACCTGAAACATTTAAAAACGATCAGGAGAATAGAAAACAACTTTCAATTCTTTTTCTTCTACATTTTTGTTGAGATTTTGTGAGAAAAAAGCGAAAGATTTTGTTAGAAAGTCGTTTACGCTTTAATGCAAAGTAAGTACAGAATAATTATGCAAATTACATTAAGTGACAAAATACAGAAACCGATGAAATACAAAGGATCTACTGAATTTGCACTGTCAAATGAGGAAAATTTCCGTTATTGTCTTCCCTCAGGCTTTGCACAAAAGCTAAATAATCATGTGAAAACACCAATGTCACGACAGAGGGAAATACTCAACAAACATTCTACTCATTTCAAATTTGATATTTTTTATTCCAATTGTAACGCAGTTCGTTTAAATGACATTTTATTCCGCACACCTTGAGCCCTGCATTTGAACATCTTAGAAAATTTATAATAACTACAATGGGTTGCTAGCACCAAAGACTGACAACCTGCTGGGTGAGAAAATTACACTTTTTCAACTCGACAAAGAGATGATATCAAAATGGTCACATTGATAGCCCTATCTAGACTGATGACCATTAGGCGAGGATGGTACTGTCGAGGTAGAAATATGTTCTACCAATCGAGACTCTGGATGGGCAAGGCAACCAGGACAACGGCTAGAGCCTTGAATGATTTAAATATTTTATGCCCTGGAAACTCATAGCTCAATGCATAATTTTGCTTTCCCCTCCGTGCTACGTAAGGACATAGCCTCACGGCTAAATCCAGCACATTTAGGCAGAAAATGTTTTGTTGCACGAAAAGGTGCAAAATGTGTATGATTTGAGGATACTTTTCGGCAGGTTGTTTTTTACGAAAAGCTTGGTAAGTGTTATACAAACTTTAATTTATACTTAATAGTGGTAGAGATGAAAATCCTGGGTGGTTCCAGAATTATAACCCTCCTTAAATTGTTACGGATGATACATCGATAAGGATAAAACATATAATGTTATGATTTTGAACGAACGAATGTAAACCAAAGCTATGATGCGAGCTCTTCCGTCCTTGTTTACTTCGTATTGCAAAACTGGAGCTATCATGGGAACAACGTCGATCGATGACACTGTCTTGCAAGAAAACAAAAACAACTTTTCTCTTTCGATAACATCACCAGGGTATTGTCACATTAAAAAAAACAGCTTCGTTTACAAGCAGTATTCTGTTTCTACATTTTTCTTCTCCATCTACTGCCTAGTATTAACCGTTCAAGAAATCTATCCCATCGCCCAAATAATCGCCACCACGGCTGAGGATGTGTGTCATTTTCCAGGACATAGATGCGAATAATTCAGGTAGCTAATGCTTCTACATTATGAGTTCCATTGGCTTGAAATTTATTGCAGTTTATACTCGGGCCATCTACTTCATTGCGACGAAGACTGTCTTTCCTTACAAACAAAATTCTCCACTAGATCCACAGTCAGAGCGAAAATATGATGCACAAAAAAAGGGCACTGGTCACCGTTTCCTTGACAACCACAACTGCCTTTTTTCAAAAATATTTTGCACGCTCTTTCGCTCGCCTCAGTTATCCGAGGGTCTGGAACGGGCTTCATGCAAGGGCATTATTCTCTAAGTAAAGAATAATTTGATTTCTTATTTTTCGAGAACATTCCCTGGACATGATTCAGCTGACTTCTGATGTCTTAAACAACTCATTTTCTCTTAGTGATATCTTCCTCTAATTGAGAGGAGAGTTGTTAATAATTTAGAGTACATTTCAGCTCCTACCAATTAAGACCAAGTAGGTTAATAAAAATTCCATAAAATATCACAAGTAGACAACGGGAACTCAGAACAAGATCGTGCAAACTGCCTGAGGCGCGGGAAAAGCTGATTGAACAAACCGCGACTAGTTTTAGTTTTGCACCAAATTGGTTGAGAGCGTATTGCAACTTTTCGATGACAAATTACAAGTTTATGTAAAGCAATAAAAGTGCATTCCCGCTTTACCTTCGAAACGCAAGTAAAAATTTCCCTTAATCTCGGCCAAACTCTCTACTTGATTCTTCGAAACCGCCGGCCACACCATCCTGATTTCATCAGGTGAGATGAAAAGCATGTATCTTTGCAACTAGCGGAAATAGTTTTTTCGTTGTTCTATTAATATGAGGACTGGTTAAAAACAATATTTTTTCTTCCAAAAATTTCCTGAACCCCTTAGGATACAAGGGATAAGGAGAGTCCTTTTTAATGCAAAACAACTTTTTTCACTGATCTGTGGAAGATATTTTCAGGGTCCATAATTTCTTCTGTACTTCCTCGATTCGTGTGAAAATCTTTCTCTAAGTTACCAATTGCGAAGGCAAATGCAGGATTTGAAGAGTGTGTATCGCTCCATAAATCTCTTTCGTGTAAGACAGATGGTCATGATTTCAAATGGGAATAAATGAGGAAGGAAACTGAGGCTCAAAAAGGTAAAAGTTGAAAATTTTGAGCTTAACTCCACGGGAACTTCAAAAAAGCGTCACTCAAAATGCAATCTTCATTATTGTAATTCGAACAATCGGTATTCCGCCAAGATACCCATAGCGTTCCACCCCAAAAAAGTCACTTTAAAACAATGTCTTGCGCATTAATAATGATATGCTGGTTACAATGGTCTTCGTACAGCATTTATGTTCTTATTGAAACAAAAGAAGGATTAAACTGATTGAAATCCTCTCAATTCTATTCTATTCCGGCAAGAATCGTAGTCATTTAAAGGCTTAAAAATTCACCTTTCCTTGTTTTTCCTTCGATAAAATAAACGCACGCTCTAAGTGTTCTTAGATGAGTTTTCTCTTATTTTGTTTTTTATTTCCTTTTATCAGTTCTTTATTTCGTTCCCTTAAAATTGAATAGTGTCCGTAAGTTTGAAAACAGGATTATTTCCAAGGCAAACATTTCTACAGCAGAAGGCCAAAAAGTTATTAATCACCGGAAAAACGCTAACATGATAAAACATAAGTCTTTTTGTTTTAGCTTTTCAGTTCTAATGAATTCGCTGTAAATCTATATAGCAAAGATAACAGCACTCAAGAGTGTCCGCCCGCCCGCCTCTGAAAATAATATCGTGAACAATAATTTGGGTATCATAAGTTTTACGTTGAGCACTGAAGTGCTTCTGATGTACACGTTTGGCAAGAAGTCACGTAAAAGAATAAACGGAGGGGCAAGTTTGAGTACTGAGTTTTAGGTAAGATTATGCCACTTTAGTTTTCAAAAAAATTTGATTACTTACAGTATTGGGTTGGTATTTTGTCGTCCAACTGCTTTGATCAAAACTGTAATGAACTCTCAATATTCCTTGTGGTTTTTCTAAGCAGTCCAAGCACAATAGACATCGATCAAAGTAAGAAACTGAACTTGGAACATAACCTCAGTTTACTTCGGTCGGTGCAAAGGTGTTTTTTACATCATCAGAAAACTGAGTTCGTCACTTGATATCGCTCTATAGATGTCAGTATATTTCATTTTAGTTCTTTGTGAAAAAGACGTTTGTGTTTGAAAAACCTGTCATATAAATTATGCAACAGCAATTTCTAAGCCTTTACAATGTTACGGCAAGACAAATTTGTTTAAGTAGTTTTTTTTTTGTTCTTCTGTTAATTTACGACGATGTTGTTTTGATCAATGAATGGCAACGGATCTCGTAAAAATGGAAATTTGAAAGCGCCCTTATTTCATACGAGTTATTCGTAGGTCATTAAGTTTCGACCCTTAGGCATGAATTTTTTTTGGGTTTAATCTCTAGCTTCAATTTATTGTGCTTGTACAAGGATCATTCTTCATTTAATTTCTTCTATTTACGGGACAAACACACAAAAGAAAAAAAGGAACAAAAAGTGACGATGTTTGTTAATCTTATGTAAAAGTTAAAGATTCAGTTTGGAGCTGTGAAGAGAGAAGTTTGCAATATTTGACCGAAATAATGTGAAATTTTTAGGTCACCATCTGAGTTTGAGTAGATTGCTAAAAATTTATTCATGTAATAAAATCTATTTTCCTACGAAAGAAGCGTCGCCGTCGGACTGTACCAGTGTTTTCGACCGGCATTTTTCGCCGGCGTATGGTTCGTGATACAACACGTACTCCTTGCATGTACTCGTCATCAACACTTATTTCAAAGCATTTTTAAGAGGGCATCTTGCACTAATGTTTCCTCATTAATAATCTCGTGATTAACACGAATTTATACTGAATCACCAATTAATTTATAAGAGTCTTTTCCGGCGAAATTTCAAGCCAAAAAAGATTATAAATTGAGAACCTATAGACTTCAACTATATCAGATAACTAATATTGTCAGAGAGGATGGTTGTCTTTCGATGTTGTTGAATTTTGCATCAAACAATGAAGAAATCACTTTTCAAAAATTCTATAAACTGCCTCGGAAATATCTATCACTCCTAATAAGATTCTTACTAAATCAAAAGTACGAAAGGGTTGTTATTTTAAAAGAAATTCTACATCAACATTTCTGATATAGAAGTGTTTGGTCTATGGCCAAAATAAAATCAATCCTAATCGATAGAAGCGTATTTACATGCGTGTTCGCTTTGTATTCTATTATAACGGCAAGTGTCAAAGTTTCGAGGGAGGCCTTAAGTTACTGTACTAAGAATGTATTTCCAAGCTTAAGCCGATACATGGCATCATCCTATCAGGTAGATTTCGAAAAAAGGCACCTCCCTGTTATTACTGTGGAGGTCTAACTATAAATTGTGTTTGAGGTAAAAATCTACTTGTACTGCCCAGGGAGTCAACAAAAATAAACACAAGCCTAGTGGTAGAATACACATATTTGGAAAGTCGGAACAACACGACACCATAAGAACCATGGGTGTTGACTCATTTTCAAAGATGCGCTCTGTTGTATAAGTAAAATTGGGTGTGAGATTTGTTAAAAATATTCATTAGTTACCAGCAATTTTCTCGAATATAGTGGGTGCTCCAAAACGTTTCCTGAATATCCTTTACATGACTACTAAAGCGGATTCACGGATGTTTTCTGAAAGGATTTGCAAATAGATAATTCTAGTATAGAGAGGAAATTATAGGTTAAAACAAAATGACTGAATTGAAGACATGTGGATCCACCAATGTCAGTGCCAGTCAAATATGTCGGTGCCTTAGAAATTTTAGGGAAAAAAAAACAGAAACAAAAACAAAAACAGAAAAATCGATGAGCTCTCATTACAGTACGTTTAACATAACACCAATTTATGTGATTAAACCAGAATTGCACTGAATGAACGCGATGTAGATGTTACGGGAACGCCAGATACTATCGAAATTGTTAACTTGAGTAGAGGGGCCAAATTTTAGGAGTACCGTGTTTTTAAAACTCACATGCAATAATTTCCTCATAAAACGTGCTTTACTTACTTCACAGACTGTTGAGCATGGCAGAATACAGTGCGTTGGCAACGGACCTGCTTGCTAACAAAAGCAGTCCGACACAGCCAAATGTTCTGTCCAACCAACCAAAACCGTCTATTGAAACCAGCCAATCAGAAACTGTACTTGAAGTCACTTTCAGCGTAATCGCTGCCTTAGCTTTCGTGCTTAATTTCATGTTTTGTATTGTGCTGTTGAAGAAACCTTCCCTGATGCGAAAGCCACACAACTTCCTCCTATTTAATTTGGCCATCACAGATTTACTCACAGGTGAGATATCTTTCCTTTTGTCACTGGGTAAGGTCATTATCTAAATGACGTAGGACTGCAATGTAAGAATTCCCAGGTGGTACACTCTAGATGTTGGGAGTAAATAAATAAACAAAAAGAGGGCGAACTTGCAACGTGGCGAAACCTTTAGTTATCGACACAACTCTATGGGAGGAGTTAGTTAGAGCCGTAGAATATATAGATGACAACTACCTGCAACTACCTTGCATGTTGCAATACCAGACACAGCTGACGAAATGTCGTACTTCTCCCCACAGGACTTACCTTGATTGTAACACCAGGCTACGTGAGCAGACAATCCTTGATTCCGATTTCTCGTGGAATTGGTGGACACATGTTCTGCGCACTATTGGCCAACAGATATCTCCTGTTTACAATCGCCAAGGTATCCATTTTACTCGTCACATGCCTTGCTATGGAACGCTGGTGCTGTGTGCTGAGACCGGTAAAGTATATGATACACTTCAGCCGAAGGCGCCGTATCGTCTATGTAGTGGGATCATGGACACTGAGCTGCGCGCTACAAATTCACAAAATGTTTGAGAAAAGACTTGTCGGAAATAAATGCGAGACGGTCGAAGCTCCATACGGTGAAACAGGTGCGCAGGCGTTAATTGCAATTTACGGCTTTGCAAACTTTATAGTGCCGTGTGTTATAACATGGCTGACTTTTGCGCACATCAAATTTCGCTCACCGAACTCTCTTGGTGCTGGGCAGAAGAGCGACGGCAGACGAGTTCGACAGAAAACTGTACTACAGCTATGTGCACTGACAGCTGCAGTCTTCACTCTGAGCTGGCTACCGGCCCAAGTCAGTTACACTTTGTTCCCCTTTGGAATCACGGATGTATCAAGTTCGCTACACAAATGGTGGAATGCAATTGCGTTTCTCAATTCGTGCGTAAATCCTTTGATATACTGGTATTATCATAAAGAATACAGAAACACATTCTTTAAGCTCTTCTGTGGGTGTAAGGCACTGCAGTTTCAAGCTATTAAACCTCAGCATTGTACCGATTCTGGAAGTCACGATTTGCCGTTAAATCACAAAACAGGTGAATCACCGCCATTGCAAATGGTACCGTCCCCCTACATAGACGAGAATCGAGTGTAGTAGCCTTGCAACGAAGTGTCTTTCCCACGGAAACTTTGATTTGCTTGACCCAGTCGTCTTTCCACGATTCATTATCATTGTTCCCTTCTTTCTTTGGTGGAGAAGAGGGCTCAACTGCAAGTTGGCAGTTTCCAGAATCAACTTCAGAGATTTTTCGGTCTAAAAGATAGGGAAATAGCAGTGTAAAAAATTCCATGAGGAAAATGGATCATGTGCACCTCTCCCAGTTCTACATCATCAAGAAACAAACGGTACTTTCTTCAAACGTCTCTTTTAGATTTGAACAGTTCAACTTTCGACGTCGCTCATCTGGTCTTTAAGTTGTTGTTTCGGGAATTCGAAGACGTTTCCATGAAGATGTGGTTTTGTTTGTCTGAAAGTTCTAGAAGTCTCCAGATATCAAAAGAAAAAATTCAGTACCTCACGAACCGGAATGTTGTAATACAAGCTTGTTGGATCGGGGCATCAAGTAAAACGGTTTTTTAGAAATCTTGTGCTGCTTCGCTCATTGATTTCTTTTTAATCGTCCGAATTTAATTTTCTAAGGCGATTAAAATAATTATTAAATTAACCATGCTTTTTATAGTTGAGATAATAGTAGTTTTTTTTCCCGGCTTACATTCAAGCCCACCTTTAGATTCTGTAACATTCGACTACGTTTATTCTTAAAAGCTGAGGTGATGCAAGTCTTTCACCGCCAAATACAGAGCAAATATATTTCGTTTTGTTCGGAGGGGAGGGGTTGACCTCTATCTACTTTGATCACCTCCATTTATTAGGCATCCATTCTCACTCCACCTAAGTTGAAAATTAATTTTGTCATTTATCAATTTCCTCTGATTGGAGAGGGTTTGATTTCTGCCTACATTGTTGACCTCCATAAGAGTGCCCCTATTGGGGAGGCCTACATCCTGACTCCACCCTTGTTAAAAATTGAGTTGGTAGTCTATTTAAGTAGGTGAGAGATAAACATAGGAATTTTCATCTTGCCACAATCCCATCACACCCCTTTGAACAGTTTTGTGGTTAAAATTGGGAAAGCAGATGGTCTAGGACTTGATTCAATATCAGGAATTTCTTTCTCAGAAGCAACAAAGGGGAAAATCAACAACAACACAGAAAGGTGTGCATCTACATGTGTATTTTTATATCAATATCCTTAAAAAATAACTTACTTCATTGGCAAACTTTATTACACTGTCTCTAAAAAATTCTTATATTAAACCATTATTTCTGGATCAAATCATACTTTGAAACTGTAAACTTCCACCAACTAAAAATTTTTTGTGGAACAATATGCTCCAAATGTGTTTTCTAATTCTCTGGTATTTTATAGTTGTACCTGTAAATTAATAAATATCACACTTCATTACAGGTTGCTATAATTATATAAATGACATACTTAAAAAAAGTACTTAAAGATATTTCTAAGCAACCTTAGGATGATATTATGCTATATAAATGTTGTAAAACAAACTTATTTGTAAGGTGTCCCACAATGAGGCCACTGAACACTTTTCTACATTTTTTTCTGTGTAGTTCCTCCTTTCCAGATTAATCAATCAGTTAAGTTGAGAAAGTTAGGTATGGATAATGGGAAATCAATGTCATATGAATACTGAGGGTAAGAAGGCACAACAAAAAGAGGTGGAGAAGTGCTGATCACAAAACTATGCTTGAAAGAGGACAGCTAATACTTTTGTTGTAACTGATTTTTCTGCTATACTTTACAAACAATAATTATTATTGCTCTTTACTTCTGTGCCCTACCGCATATACCACTGTGAAAGTAGTAACAAACATCTAAATATCTAAATATATCATTTAAAAAGATTCATGCTCAATGGAAAGCCTCAAGTTCTGAACTGAAATGTTGGACAGTGTACAAGATAATACACTTTGGTGATAACAAAGGGATTTGAAGATGATCTGCACTTTTGGTGTGTTCATTGTCTGAAGCTTCTGCCGAGTTTCTCTCATTTTTCTTGGTTGTTTTGTCAAATGTGCCCTTCAAGTTAAAAATTACCTTCAACAATCACAAGAAACCTACTTAATAAAGTTTTGTAAACACGTATACATGAATGCAGGTCAAAACACTATATACACTAAAAATCCAACCTGACATTTTAACTATATACAAAGATGGAAAAATTGCAGCAAGCCTCCCCATTTAGAACACATCAACTAATACAACAAATGAATAATACTACAAAAAAATCCCATGCTGTTAGTAAGTATCAGTAATAACAATCAATGATGGTCAAGAATTATCTCCAGGTAAGAGTAATTGTTCTCTGTGAGGAATGGCTATTTAGGAACTGTGTTGATAATTTAACCTTTGATTTGTTGATTTTTGGAATATGCCAATTGATGTTAATGGCCTATTTAACCCTCTCACCCTGTGAATTTCCTAGGATGAATTTCCTCAACTAATGGGAAGTTACAGAAGATACCCATAAGGAATAATACATGAGAAAAAGTAACATAAGTAATATATGTAAAAGTTTAGGAAGTTGATATTTAGATTTTTGGTGTAAAAGGACTAAGGCACTGCAAAAAGAAAATTGTTAGGTGCATGCATATGTAAGTGAATATAGACAATCTAAACTGGAATTTGTTTGCTCTCTCTGTTAAAATGTTATACTAAACTTTGATGATTATCATTGTGTTAAGGAGCTTTCAGAGTTGATGGATCATGAGCAGCATTCACTTTGAGATCTCTAATCAACAGACTACTAACAAGCAAAGTGAAAGGTAGTTTACTCTATCAACCCATGTTGATACCTACAGTAAGTAATAATGTCTTTTAAAACCCTTCAACTTCAAAACGTGTTTAACATGTAGCCTCTCTTATAATATCCATACCTATCCAGCAAACAGGCATTGCAAATACTCAATGCCTGTTATTAGGTAAAAGTTGTTATATTGACCTAACAACAAATTTTTGTTACTAAGTTGTATGGAAATGTTAAGAATTGTAGCTAGAGAGGAAATTAATAATCAGATCTTGGGGGGTTAAAAGATTTAATTACAGTAACAGACACAAAGAGTCAGAGTATGGTTGCATCCTCTGTGTGCATGTGTGAAAAGTACAGTCCATTGAGGTTTCTCATAGTGATTTCCTTAACAATGAAACATGACTTTAAGTAAACTGGATAAACAGTAACTTCCACAAAGTTGCAGTTATCTTTAGTTGACAAAAATTAACCAAAGAAAATAGAGTAATCAAGTTTTGCATGGCAAGCAGTTATCAATAAAGACTGAGACTGCTGAAGAAAGTAAGCAAACAATCAAAAACAGCCCTTCCAATGCAAAAAGTATCTTACAAAATACAAAAAAAAAAAGAGACAAAATATTCAAAATAACAGAAAAACAAACAAACAAAAGAAAATGATAAAAATTTAAACGCTACCCATATTGATACAAAATGAGTACAAAAAAAAATTAGTCGAGAATATTATATGCATTAACTATAAGACAATAATTCTCTTGCTTTGGAAATGATGATACTGGACTCATTTGAAGGCTATTGAAGATATCAATTATTTCAAGTCTTACCATCATAATTGCAGTACATGTATGTGATGATGTCATGAACATATGTTCATTTTGGCTCTGAGTTTTAAGGACTTGGAAACTATGGTATATGTTGCACCAAATTATATTTTGATGAGACAGATTGAAATTTGCAAGATTCAGTTATGCAATGTCATGTGAACATGTGCTAAAGGACTCTGTCAGAAACAGAATTGGAAGCAAATCTTTAACTGATCTTTTCAGGCCAGAGCACTATATAATTTCTAGTTAACACTCTTTGTTTCGGCGACATGTACAGGGGGCCTGGCACTACAAGAGCATGTACACACAGGGTTCAGAAGCTTAGGGTCTACAAGGACCTCACCATGAGGCCCTCTGAATATGGTGCCACAGCAGATTTCTTCACGTCGCCACATTGACAGGTCAATGAATGGCAGCTTATTATTTGCTGAAGAGGTAAGGGATGGGAACAGAAAGGATGTTTGTGAAGCTGTTGACACTTGACGTACTTGTTTTGAAGAGGTGGTCGTTGAACCTGATGACAAATCATCAGACACATCACTGGGACTGGGACTTGGTGAGCCACACATCAACGTGGGTGACATCTCCCCACTATCTGTTTCAATTTCATCATCATCTGCAAACAATTGGCAGATGTCATAAATCATAACTGTGATGGTTTACCACCCATGAAAGCTAAATATACTGCAAACACTCTTCCAGCCTCTCAGACAGTAATGAAGATGAGAGATGGGAAAAGACTACTATTATAAGATAAAAGATATTTTATTTCATAAGTATTTCATTTGATTGATATCACCAGCTATAATATTGTTTACCTGTTATCATTCCTTTCCATTTTTGTACTACTCACTTTCTATATTGATAAATCAGTTTCTACATTGTTAAATCTGTCAGTTGATGGAATGATGGTGGAAGTGAAAGCCAAAGAACTTAGTAGTGGCCCAAACTTCACAGCTTCCCTGGGATAGTACAACAACTGGAAGCATTAACATCCATCTCCATGAGATTGAAAACTGATGTTGTTGTGATGCCAGGCAGCCCATTGACAAGGGTATCAACAAGCAATTCAAAACAAAGATCAGAACCCAGTATCAGGAATGGATGGTGAATGGTCAATTTATCTACCCTCCCTCAGGGAGGGAAGTGATCTCCCAGCAAGGAACTGGTTTTGCAGTGGATAAATTGAGCATGGAAGGAAATTACAACAGAGTTGGTTGCACAATCCTTCAAGTCCTATAACATTCTGAAAGCTCTCAATGGAACTAAGGACAAAGCCATAAGGGGAGAAGAAACAGGCAATTGAGGTAAGAACAGAAATAATGACTTTGTAGACAACCAGTTCCAAACAGAAGGCACAAGGAGAGATGCAGAGAGCATGCTTACAAATGTGCTGTTGATCCCCTACACCCTAACATCAGCATGCTTATTTTCCATACCATTCTCAAAAAATTTCTTATGGTGCTTACAAAGAGAATTTGTCCAACAATTAAGAGCTTCTTGAGTTTGCAATCCCTTTCTTTAATCCTTTAACTCCCAAGATCTCATTAGTAATTCTCCTTACTGTCTGCCATATAGTTCTTCTGATGTTGCTTTTGAGAATTCAGTACTGGATCAACTAATAATCCCCTAATTAATATTTTTATTTATTCTCATCACTTGTCTGCTTGATATTGTATTGATATTGTAAGGAGAAATTCTGTCTTGGTCATACATGGGAGTTAAAGGGTTAATCCCATGACCTTAATGTTTGATTCAGGGCTGATACCATTGGGAGAAATTAGAAGTTGATCTCTCTTAGGGGTTAAAGGGTTAACAACAATTCTCTGATTTATCATCCATTTTGATTTCTCAAAAATAGTTGATGTGCAAATAGATCCTTGCAGATTGCAGTAGGCTTTTGACAACCACAAAATGGCATTGCTTACCATCCACTGCTCTATAGACAAAGTATCAGAGCACAAAATTGCAAGGTCTGAGGCTTGATTACTTGTTAAAAAAATATTTGGAGACCAAGCTTAAAGTTTACCTTCTTACTTATTCAAACATTCTTCTTTAAAGCCAACACTCTCCTAGAATGGCCCTTGGGCTTGGTCAATAAAATAAAGAAACAACCTCCCCCCCCCTTAACCGTTCACACCCTAAGAATGACTAGCATCTAATTTCTCCTTACAATATCACCACTGAATCACACATTAATGTTATGAGATTAACAGAAATGATTGCCAACTAAAGAAATTCTTGATTGTGAGACAAATTCTCCTTGTCAGCATCTCAGTAAATGTACAGAGAACAGTATGGAGAATATGAATACTGATGATAAGGTGTAAAGGGTTCATGATAGAAAAGAAATAAAATAACAGTATGGTTAGGAGATAGAGGGCTTAGCAGATTGAGGGAGGGAAGCCTCAGTGATTTTATTTAGGTGTAGGAAATTCTAGAAATGTCCAGAATCGTACATTTTCGTGTGCAAAACAGGAATATGTAAGTAATTTCAAAAGCACAACTTTACCATAAAAAGTTAAATAATTTCTTGGCCATTCTCCCATTGAAGTTTCAAACCATTTCTGTAATGGTTATGTTTTAATTAATTCATTTATTGACGGGCTTCGTTTCCTTGAAAGAGAACGTAGAAAATGGACAAAAAAAAAAAAAAAAAAACCAGATGATTTTAGTGATGTCAAATGAACACACGATTCAGTTGAGGTCTTCGAAAAAAACAGGGCGACTGTCATCGAAGACTAGGCAAGAAAAGAATTGTTTTTACCGTTTTAAGTTTTCCTAATAAACAATAAAGACGATAACCAACCTCGAGTTTCTTGTCCACCGCAACTCGCGCTGCGACCACTTGTTGCTCTTGAACCGTTCATCGTGGAAGTTAGTTCGTTTCCGTTTTCCACAGTCATAGAATTTCTCGAACTTCTCCTTGGCTTCGTAGTTCTTTTCACTGTGGCTTTACTGTCTACGACCTGTGTTTAAAAAAAAAAAAAGTTGAGCCAAAAATTGACACAAGCGCAAATGACATTTGAATTTGCGGTTTGCGCTCTTCCTGAAAACACGACATCCCAAAGAAGTAAGATTTTCTTAACTTACATGCTTCCAATTCTTCGCACTTCCAGAGGGCAGTTTCTTCCACCGTTTGACCAGAAGTACACAGGCATTGCAGATCTCTCCTTGCCTCTCCTCATTCAATTGAAAGCAACCTCTAAACAACAACTCGTATTTTGACGAAGACGTGAATCTTGAGCTCGAAGACTTTGCGCCGCAAATGCAACACCCGAGACGCGAACGAAAAACACGAGGTCTATGCGAAGCGAACATCACGCAACAAATTGGAAAGGAGATGAAAAGATTTCTCGCTGAACAGAACTTAAGTGCGGAAAGCTCAAGTGCAACAGCTGAGAAGAATAGGTTTTTGTGCAGAGAATACTTAACGGAGCATGCTCAGACAAGCAATTCTTTCGGCACGTTGTCTTAAAAGAACACATGGTGCATGTTACACTGGGAACGAAAACAATGTAATTATACACCTGCACACTCCGTTAGTAATCAGAAAATGAACGGGTGGAATTCCTTATTCAAGAGGAGCTGACACTTAAATACATAAACTGGTTAGGATGGTTGCTTCACTCAGGAAAAGCAACAGATCCATGCAGAAATGACAAAAAATATTGAAACCAGAATACAGAATTTACATGGGAGACCTTTGCCATTTTAAGTGTTACCAAGTGAATTTGAAAGATGTCTTGGTAAAATGGGTAAACAAAAGTGCATCGTGCTTAAATTTATACTATTTTTAGACTTCTCACATGGTTCAGGCGATAGGTAAGGACTAAAAAGATAGATGTAGTAACTCTCGTTTAAGACTTTCCTTTTGCGTGACGAGAAGTCCACCTGGGTGTTTAACACGTTGTCAATTAACGTCAATTGTGGCTCCATTTACTACCGAAATCTTGAAAAGCTTAGAGACTTGCCATGGGTTCCTGGCAGTCTTCCAATCAGTGAAACTAGAAAACGTGCTGTTGATGCATTCTGAGGAATGGGTACGTTTTCACTACCAGGAGGGTCAACATGACCATGTTTGAGAGAAATAAAGCTTTGATATAGTACTTGGTTGGAGTTATCAAATGTCGTTGACATGTCAATTGCACTTACAAATTTCGTCCTTGTCAAGTTTTTTCCATGAGTCGTCTCCTTGTTCATAGCGTATACCCAAGGGGATTTTCCTTTTTAGTATTCGAGCGAGCAGAGGCGGGCGTTAAGCAAGGAGAAGGGTGCAAAAAAGATCTACCCAAGCGTCATTTTTTGAGGGGGGGCGCTTCTCTCCTCATACTCGCCTTTTGCCTGTCTTCTCTCTCTTCTTTAGACTGAACACACAAACACAGATGCCTTAATGCTCTGCAAGCTATTTTGTTCAGAATAAGTCTAATATGCCGCGTGTTAGGCGAGGCCGAAGGCACTTCGCAAGCCCGGCGGCTGTGCAAAGGGTAGTTAAGAGACAACTGTTGCCAAATTATCGACAAACTTTGGCAAGAAGAACTAAGAGAATTTGGTTGACAAATGTAAAAGCGGGTCAGCGTCCAAAATAGCGACTCCGAATCGACTCCAGAGCCTATTTTCCTTGATTATAAACCGCTTTCCCGTTAAAGATCTAGTTGATGCTTAATTGTTTCTTATTGCAACCTGTATAAGTAAAACTTATGGGAGATTGTCATCGTGAAAAGTAAGCTTGGAATATGTCAGTTGTTAACCTCGTGTTTTTTTTTCACTGCTCTTTTTTTTTCGGGAGGAAGAAAGAGTGGGGAGGAGGGAGGGACGGGAAGAGGAGAGGCTTTCTTTGTCGACCCCTTATAATTACAAGTTCAGCGGATGGTTGCGACAAAAATTCTGCAGACACTTTCTTTGTCCACATGCATTCAATATAAATACTTAAGTTTATAATGCAGAGGGAAAATCGTTAAACGCTGATTGGCGAGTACGGAGGACACTTTTGGTAATCTAAAGAGCACGATTCCTTTATCCTGATCGGCTTAGCCCGTGCTATTAGCAGTGCTTTTATTTCTTTTTGGTGTTTTTGTTGCAGCTCGAAAAGAGATGAGAAAAGTAGACCTTCTTGTTTGAGGCTACTTCCTCAAGACGCAAAAGACAATCTCTGTGTACCTTTATGTACGGTGCCTTAGCAGAATTCCGGGAAAGGGAATTCTTTAATCCTAAACACGTTGAAGGTGCTGCTGTCTGTACACCTCAATAAGGATTGCATCAATCTCTTGGCTTACACTAGTGGCCATAGGGTGGACCCGCAAACACATCACTTGGTTGACACTGACTGCGGGTATGATAAAATGTACATATTCGTATGCGTTCGTGTAATAATGTGGTTGGGATTGAAAAGCTTCCGGGAGTTAAAGGCTTGACTTACCCCTGGAAAAACCACCTATGCCGACAGCCATGTAAGACTTAAGCTATTGACTTAAAACAAGAAGAAAACTTTATCATTCCTGAACGTAATACCTGTAATTATCATGACATACCTGTATATAATCAATACATGAACGTTTTAGGTAACATGAACAAAACTTGACCTGTCAAGGCACAAGTTGTTTCAATGCTGCGCTATCAAATCGTTAGAACCGACCTATCCTTAGATTTCCGTTATCAATCAAAAATGTCCAGCCACATCAGTTGATTTTCAAGTTGTGTTCGTTAACCTAGTGAAATGTTCTCCAAAAGAGAGGGAACCTTATTATAAAAACACAGATGACATACCAGGATTTTTCCAGTGACGAAAAGTTGGTAATCAGTGAAGATACAATTTTTATCTTTCACATGTGAATATAACACAGTTGTCATAGTTCCTTCAGCTTCTACCAATAGTCCAAGAAATCGTTTTCCTGGTATCGCATCGTTGTCTATATAATACACAGAATATTACATACCCGCTTGTGGATACGAATTTTATCTCCTCGTGTTCAACTGGATATCTCACTCATTCGCTTTGCTCACTTGTGAGATATCGAGTTAAACACTCGAAGATAAAATTCGTATCGACGCGCTGGCATGTAATATCCTCTATCTATGATCACGGAAGAAAGAGAAAGCTTATTCATTCACTTATTCATTCAGACCGAAAGCTTGACCAGCTCAGACCACTGGTAAGCAGCTTAAGCCGGATTGTCTTGTCTGTAATTCATGACGAGAAAAAACGATTAAATGATTGTCGCAATGAATTAATTTATCATATTACTGGAAAGATCTATAAAATGTATCGTTTGTAGTATTTCTAATGTTAAAGTACAACTTTTACCCAAGTTAATCAACATTCATTATAAGTTTCATGGATTTTAGCTTATTCCCCTTCACATCGCTAATTTTTTTAAATTCGTTCTTAGACGTGGGTAAGGACGGCAGGCAGCCCTTCCGAAGCGATTTCTCCAATACTGAAAAGACTTCTTGATAATCTTCAGCGTTCTGAGTGGTTGCAGGTTAGTTTTTCTCACAAAATTGTCGTAGCCTCTTCCTGTGTATACGCATTTTGAGTTTGTCATTGACACGACGGGCCAGCGTTAAAACTAGAAACCTCAACTAACTTGTGGAATGTTAACTTTATTATTAGATTTAAACAAAAAAATGGCAAAAACTCTTTCGCGGTGTCAACATACATTGCTCCGGGAAATTCACTTCAGCACATTTATGTAATTAGAAAAAAATATAAAAGTAGCAAGAAAAAATATTGTTATCTCGTGATAAATATGTTTAGATATTGGGTTAAAAGCTTTTAGACTACAATTTTGTCATTAATAACATTAAGTATAGAATACACGGTAAAAAAAGAGAGACGCGAATCTTGTTTGAGCATCTACCCACAGCTTTCTTAACACTTAACACCCCAACATCAGTATGCAACTTCTCGATACTGTTCCTCACACATTTCCGATGTTACTTACAGGGAGAATTAGCCTAACAATCAAAAGCTTCTTGAGTTTGCGATAATTTCCTTTATTCTCATGACCTTGATGTGTGATTCTGGGGAAATACTCTTCTGAGAAATTAGATGTTTATCACTCTTAGAGGTTAGCCATGGCTTGTTAGCAATTGGGTTATGATATCACGAATTCATACAACTATTTGCATAGTCTGGGTTTGTCTGTACCAGACTTTTTACAACGAGGAATTCACACAAGTTTCTCTCATCTTTCACTCTCCACACTGAAAAAAGTAATTTGTTAAGAAGCCGTCCTGTATGCATTAATTTAGCCCAACGCCACATGCATAATTTGTACAAAAATAACTTGAAACATAGTTCTTCTATAGTGTTTCTCTCCTCCTGAACAAGCACACAGCCTTGTTCAGAAATTTGACAACTATTCAATCATCTCATGCTCTAACATAAAGATTTTGAAACAAATATAACGTCCTAAATGAAGAGGGTCACAAAATTAAACATCTACTTTTCTTCCTGGGATTGTTCTTCTTTTGTTGTTCTTCCAACTGTGCATAAAATTTTCTATAAAAAGAAACAGAACAAATAATGATTCCTGATCCAAGAACATAAGCTCATCCTGCATGAGCTTTGGATTCTTTAACATTCAATCTTTCACTGCCTGGCTAAAGGAGAAAATTCCCTGACTTATTATCATATATTTTTTTCTTCTGGCTGTTTCTAGGAGGTTGGTGTTTAATGAAGGCCATAATCCTTAGATAACAATTTTCTCAATTTTCATTGTCTGTCCACTGGATATGATCATTTGTAAAAAGAATATAAGTTATGATCACTCCACAAAGTGAAAGATTTACAGACAAGGACTATAGCTATGACTCCTGAATGATGTCCTCAACTGTCACATGTTAACTCCCCATAATAGATCACATTTATCTAACTGTTCTCTGGTACCCCTTTATACTCTTTAGTAGAGAATTGTAGGGTGAGAGTTTTTAAGTGTCTTGCCTAAGAATACAGCATATTGAGGCAGCCAGCACTCAAATTCAAGACTTCTCAAACCGGCTGTCACGCAAAATTACCACAATGCCACTTTAACAAGACATTGAATTTAATGATCTGTTTTCTGGGATCTTATTTTCTTTTCTTTTGTAATAGAATCCTTTTGGTGGACATTAATGTTTTGTTGGTATAAAATGCTGTTTTACTTTCATCCCCATTTTCTGTTAATCCCCTCTTTCCAGTTACAAATAAATCAACTGGATCCAGGCCTGTGTCAGGTTGTTATGATTGGCCATTTAAAGAACTTCACTTCAACACAACCTGAACAATAGCTACCCTTTGGTTTAAAATAATATAGAAAAACAACAGCCCACAATAACACTAAAAAAAAGGCAAAATATGGCATGGTACCTGATAGCTCTTACAAGGTTGTGAAATGCTGCATCAACATTGGTTCTTTGTTTAGCACTGGTTTCTATATACTCAATCTGAGAAAAAATTAATGGTTGGCTATCAACAAGTGAAGTAAAGTTAAGAAGTCATACCATACTGGCCTTACATAAATCAAAATTAGATTCATAGCTTTATCTCCATTATAAGTAATGCATTTATATAAATGTCATCCAGAAGGTTGCAATAGTTCATGCCTTAACCCTTTAACTCCCAGATCAAATTGGTCGTTCTCCTTACTGTCAACCATACAGTTCTTATAGTGTTAGTTCAGAGAATTTAGTATTATATCAATTAATTATCGCCAAATTGATATTATTCTTCATTCTCATCACTTATCTGGCTGATGTTCTATTGTTACTGTAAGGAGAAGTTCTGTCTTGATCACTCATGGGAGTTAGAGGGTTAATACTGCATTCTAAAAGCTAAAACTATAAGAAAAGACAGTCAGACCAAGCAGAAAATTGACATTAGGATTGAGAGAGCTGATTTTTCTTCAAGTTTTTGATCATCAGCCAATAACAAAATAGACCTCCTTGGCTCCAAAACCATTATTTCTCAGGAGTGTTATTGGATAGCAGCCTCGATAAATGCATACCTTGAGTTCACTAGCCAACTCCTGGCCTTCAGATGTTGACACCTAAACAAGGTTAAGTAAACAAAAGGATAAGTGCCTTAGGTACTTTATGTAGACTTAATTGATTTTACACTATGTTCTGCATTAGAATGGAAAAGGAACAGCTTCTTGCTATGGAAACAGTGCAACAGGGTATCTAGATTCTGTTTCCTTATTAAGTAAATGCATGATACCCTCTTAAGATGTCTATCCTTTGCCCTGAAATTACAAAAAGACTTTAATTACAAGTATCTCAACACTGATAAACCTTTAACAGGTATCCCTGGCCCCTTCCATAGCTAAATATAGATTTTTCCTGGGTGACACTGTGCCCTTATGATCAATACTCAATGATCAATGCCACCAAATTCCTGGGTTGGTGGGAAATTTCCCTTCCATACAATGGATCCACGTTTTCAGAGACTAAAAGATTTATGTATCGTTGCTAGAGGTATTTACCATTCAGGACTTTCAGTTCATAATTAGTTATTTACTGCATAACTGATCTTTTATTTCTGGGTGACTTACTGTTCTTTCTGGTTCTAAGTCAGACTTGTTTCCAACCAAAATCATTGGGAACTCTGACCTACAAAAAGGATAACAACACAGAAACATTTGAGAAAACTATAAGTAGAAACACAGCCCTGTCAGCTATGACTTTAACCTTTTACAGCCTAACATCTGTATGCAAATTCTCCATACCCCTCTTAATACATTTCCTAAGATTCCTTTAGTCTCCTGACCTCAATTTTTGATTCAGGGGTGATATTGTAAGGAGAAGTTAGAAGCTGGTCACTCTTAGGGGATCAACAGTTAAGACTGTTGTAAATATGGCTTTGAAACTGTAAAGTAGAATGCAAATCTATTACTTTAAATGAAAAAGTACATGTGACATGTCATCAGTTAGAAATATATAAATGAATCAGACCTCACACATTCATTTCATTAAAGCACTGAGAGCACAGTAAGAAGGCTCCACAACACACCTGTCTTTCACACGAAGTATTTGTGGGTGAAATGTGCGCTTTACTTCTTCAAAGCTGAAAAAGTTTAAAAAAATACAGATCAGAGGTTTCCTACAAGTGGAGTGAGCAGGTCAGTTGGTTTGTTTGGTCTCCTTGAGTACTATCTGCACTGTGGAAGTTTCTGCTAATTCATAACATTATATCAAATCCCTAACTCCTCCAAAAAAAATCTATCAGCAACCCTGGGTAAACAAAAGGCAATTACTGATGATGCATCTCCAGAAGCTAAGGCCACACAGAAAAAGAGGAGTACACAAGGGCACAACTGATTCCATAGATTTCAACATTTTCAAAGCCAGCCTATTAAGGGTCTTTTAAATGAAAAATCAAAACTAGTTCCATGTCAGTAAAATGCCAAATTAAAATTGTCAATCTGTAAATACTTTTGCTTTCTTGAAGATGTAAGGAAACAAAGAAAAGAAAATAAAAAAAGACAAAAAAAAAAAGAAGGTGAATAAAATAAAAAGGGGGGAAAATAATACAAAAGAAAATAAAATTTTCATTCAATGTTTATATGATTACAAACCTTGAACGATCTATCACTGAGAAAACTAATAAAAATCCTTCACCATTCCGCATGTATTGTTCTCTCATCGCACTAAATTCCTAATAGGAGAAACATAGAAGACTAACTTATTTAACCTGTTAATGTTTGATGTTTTTGTACAAGTTTATCACTTGTACACAAGGTAAAAAAATTTGTTTATCAAAAAAGAATTATTTGTTGCAGCCTGAGCCATCATGTGGAAGAGATTATCCATTTGCATTCCATTTGTAGTGTGAAATAATAGAATAATCCATAGCAATATAGAAAATGATATGCATTGTTATACCACCTACAGGAAAAAATTGTTACAGAGAAGAATATTATTTAATCAATTCTTACCTCTTGACCAGCTGTATCAAGAACTGCAGAGGAAACAATTAACAAAAGGGGGTTATAACAGCTTAAAACAAACTTCATTTTGTTGACAAAGGTAAAATCACATGCTTGTCATGCCTGTTTTTTTCCAGTAAACATTCAGTGCACCAAAAGTGTTTTACTGGTATAACAGAACCCTGCTAGTTTAAACTTCCCATGAATAGTAATAATAAAAATGAAATTAAAAATTGAAGGAAACCTAAGGAAGCTTCTAGGCTGCAAATAAATTTTTTAAATAGATAATGTATTGATAAAATAATTTCATTTTCATTGAAACAATAGTAAGTCAAAGGGGGGAATGCAGAAAGAACATTTAAAGGGTTTGTATCAGTCAAAATTTTAAATGACAGGAAAGAAAAATATGCTAAAACATCTGATTGATGTCAATAAAAATCATATCAAGTCTGAGTAATGGGCAGGAACCCACAGCAAGATAGATTTCCTAATAAAATGTTCCAGTATTATTTTGCCTAAAATATCATAAGCATTTAATATATTGATTTATTGTTCTGTCTACCACTAAAACTTGTTATTTGATGGGGAAAGTATAGCAATTAAGTAACAAATATGAAAATATTTCAATTAATTTCTTAAAATTATTTTGATTAAAAACAAAAATATTTCTTTGCTAGATTCACCTAATTAATTGATGCAAGAGAATAACCAATTTCAATTAAAAAAAACTAATACAATAAAGGTTACCTAGATTTTCTTCACGAAATGTGATACCCTTGAAGGTAGGATTTTACGGTGTACATTAAGGGTTGTATCTCAATAATTACAAAGTGTTATTTCAGTTGTAAAAGCAGATATTCATAGAAATAAAGTATGTCTCCCTTTGTCTCGGAGATAAAGATCAGAGAAGACCATTTCTTTCAAATAAATCTCATTAAAAGCCAACATTTTACATAAGTATCCGATCAGAAAAATCTCGTTCCAGTTTTTTATTTCGATTTTAAACCGTAACAATTTAAAGTTTGCACGTCATGTAAAACTTGTCCCATGGAGAGAAATTTATTTTAGGCTCTCGATGGACATTGTCTTTTTGCTAAAGGTCATGGAGCCATCGCATTCTTATAAACAGGATGGTTCAGTCAAATCAAGCAGCCATATGTTTATTTTCCAAAAGTTAATCGCTAGCATTTCTTCTGTTCCCTACTTTGGCCAAAATGACGTTTTATTTTTGCGGTCGAAGGAAGTCTTCAGAAAGAATGTAAAACAACTGTAATTTTCTATTAAAAGACATTGTTGTGGTCTCCGCTCATCGAGTCCCCGTCAGAATATTTGCTCCCATTCCCAAACACGAAAGTGTGAAATTGAGGCTATTATTTCCATGGTAAATCTATCCGGAATCCTCAACGACGCTTCTGTTCCAAATCTAAAATACTTTTATATCGTTCGTGTGTGTCAAAATAAGTGGAAAAACAAATTCATGTACAAATAGAGATCACATATGTTCCCCAAAAATGCTGAAAATGAATTGCAAGGATATTAGACTGCACATATTCTTCGATTTTCCTGGGCCGTGTAGTGACTCGAACGCTGACACTCCCCAAGATCAACCCGTGCGATCAGTGTGATCACGCCGTTTTTTCTGTGGATGATTTCAGTAAAAAACAACACAAAAGCTTCACTTACTGTCTAAATGAGCGACTTTTTCGTCGATGACACACTGTTTACGATAGCTGTCTTCGATCGTAGGATCATAGTCACTGACAAAATGAGATTGAATAAACTGAATCGTTAACGCAGATTTACCGACTCCTCCACCTCCGACCACAACCAACTTATACTGTTTGTCAGCATCCCCAGGTTTGGCCATATCTTGAAATCTGCAACAGCAATTTTAGATAACAGAACGAAGCCTTATTTGAAGGCGAATACTTCGACGATGTAAATTTGTAGAACTTCAAGGAGTGGAACACAACTATGGGTGGAGGGGACAATTCTTGGCATATCATTGGTACCCAGTTCCTCCGGGACAGATTAACGCTTTTCCTTCCAGCCTGACATGACCTCAAAGCCTCTCTCTTTCAAATTTTCCGCAAATCGAAAGCAAAACACTGTTGTGCCATAGCAACTTCAGGAAATACATTTAGTGCCATAGCATTTCCTTTAAATATCATAAATTTCGAGTTCCGCCCATAAAATTTAATCACACGATATCATTGGCATTCAGCTTTCTTCCTGGATATAAATAACAATCCTATTTTGTCTATAAACGGGGTGGTCAAACCGAATAATTCTTCCGTTTAAATTCCCTTTACAGAAAGGAAGACTAGGCAATAGATGGCAAAAAAAAATATCCATTAGTTTGAATTGTTTCATTCGTTTGGATAGAGCAGGGGAGGGGAAGTAAATGACTACCACCTTCCCGCCAATTTGGCAAAGTCACATGACTTTAACCTCTGTGATTGGCTAGATTAAACGTTTGTTTGTTTCACAACACCGTTGTACTTTACATTTTTCACACTTCGCCATTCATTCTGCTAAAGGCCTTGGATTTTTGTTCCATTTTGCTCGTCAATTTACTGCAATTCCAAATCTACCGAAATAGTTCTTGAAACGTACTTGAATAGTTTATTACCACTTGGTTTGATGGCGTGCACAAAAGCTCGACCGGGACGCCTTCCATTCGTCCTAGAAGAAGACGATTGTGAAATGGACAGGTCTTCCACCGACGCCAACAGCGGTTGTAGTCCTTCTCGGCTCATTGCACCAGTATCACCCGAATTCACAGACGAGGGTTGGGATCTTGGCTTTTCAAGTCCTTTTAGAGATTGCATGTCAGATGAATCACCGGAAAAAGCCAAAATGAGTGGTTGTACTACTCCGCCTCTGTCGCCTCCTTCACTGGGTGCGCTTCGCTTGTTCGACTCACCTCAGACGCCAAAAAGTTTACTTGAACGTTCGTCCAATGTGAATCGCACAATGGATTTTAAAAGGCCTGTGTCGAGACTGCGCCGTGGCTTACTAAAAGGTCGTGGATTTGAAAGTGAACCCCGAATGGGACCGCGATCTCGCCAGGTAACTGCAAACGTGAACCCGTTTACTCCAGACTCAGCCATTGGTGCGAAGCGAGCAAGACAAGGAGAAGGAAGGTTGGTTTCAGACTTCCTTTTTAAAGAGAGATGCAAAAACTGCATATGCTTCTTTTATGATTGTTGTGGTTCCTCTAGATCATATTACACCATTAGATTTGCATCATAAATCAGTTCTTAAGTGTCGGAGGTGAAAGGGCTCTCGGTTGGTAATTCAGCTTGCTGGATTTGATTTACCATCTGACGCCTAATTGGTACCCAATGATCTCTTGACAACCAAATCAGAACCGGAGTGTCATCCTCCCTCCCACCCCACACACATCTGCACTCCTATGTTACAAGAGGGACAAGTCAGCATTGATGAAGTGTTTTCTTTTTCTTTGGAGAAAATGCGTGTTTTCATAAAATTTATGATTGTGATCTTGACAGTGATTTTGATTTGTAATTGAAAAAGCCTATAGTAAAGTAACAATACAATTCTTTTTCAGGAATGGCTCAATTTGTAATGATAATGACGATGAAGATATGGACGATGATGATGACGAAATATTTGGAAACCCAGCTAAGGTAACCATCCGGTAGTATTATGCTCCTTGTTCCCTAGACACAACATGAGCATAATGTATATTACAACTTTAATTTCTTTGTTCAATCTCCAGAGACTTGCACTCCATGAGAGTAACATTTCGCGTTACAATGCAGAATTTGTTGAAATAAGCACAATAGGATCTGGCCAGTTTGGCTCTGTACATAAATGTCTAAACAGACTAGGTGAGCATCAAATTTACTGTTCATTTTTTGTTGAGCTTACTTTCCATGTTTTCTGAAGCAACCAAAACCAGAGAGAGTTATCACAGGTGGTGGGGGGGAGGGGGGAGTACCTCTGAGTAATAGGCTAATGGTAATTTACTGCTGGATAAGGTTGCATTTTCTGACTGGATGGCCTGGAATGACATTGCAAATTTTTGGAATTTTGGTGATAAGAAAATTCTGGATATAATTTAAAAATAGAAAGATTTGTGTTTGAAAAGTTGTTACTTTACCACCTAAAGTGACTAAGGTGGGTCTACAATTATTGGCCAGAGAATAGACTATTATGGGGTAAGGGCATCGAGAGGCCAGGTGCACATACAAACCTGTACTCAGCAAAAATTGATCAAAGTACCCCCTTTCCCCTATAATCACTAACCACCTTGACAAGTGGGGTGATCAGGATCCTAATGATAAAAACAGGTTTGTGCTTCATTCTGATCTCATAATTACAACTCAATAACTTATTGAATTAGTTATTTACTTGGAAAGCTGGGTTGTGATCTCAGCACAAATTGTCTTAGGTAGCCTGCTTTGATTGGAAGGTTGCAGGAAGTCATGATCAGTGCATAAATATGCATGTACAATGAGTGCAATGCTTAAAATGGCTACTAAACAAATTTGTGATTGATTCTAGATGGATGCATCTATGCATTGAAGCGGTCTCTGAAACCAGTAGCTGGTTCTATTGATGAGTAAGTACAGGAAGGAACAATCAGAGTGAGATAAACTAAGATGAGGATAATGTAAGAAAAGATAAGAAGTTCTAAAATTATTGAAGTATGTTTTGAATAACTAAGCTGTAGTTTCACAAGTCAGGATAAATTTTCCTCTGTTCAGGGCTGTGAGCATAATACAGCCTCCAGTCATCTCTTGTAAAGCACAGAGCTGCAACCGCTCTACTGTTTGTGTTTCCTTTCCCCGTTCTTTTCCACCTACCTGATTAGTGTAGATTAGATTTGTGCAGTGTCTTCTAAAATTGACATAATGTCATTTTTGATAGCTGCAAGAAAAGGCCACAACTAATTTTAATTTTCATGGGCAGTTACCAACTTTCTCCCATTAGTTTGCTGTCCTTATATTGTATATCAAAAAGCATTAAAATGAGATTGTCTTCTCTAATTGAAAAAGATTCTTCAGAAGCCATAAATCTGTTCACTTGTAATCTGATCTCATTCTTTATTAATGTTTTGTTTTTCTGCAGGCAAAATGCGATGCGTGAGGTGTATGCCCATGCTGTCCTAGGAAAGAATCCTCATGTCGTACGATATTACTCTGCATGGGCAGAAGATGGACACATGTTGATACAGAATGAGTACTGTGAAGGTGTGAGATACAATGTACATCATTTATTATCTTCAAATAACACCATCTGTTGATGGGTTCTTGCTGTCACTTGCTGGGTGCAGTAACTAATAGTGTACAACTAGATTTTGTTTTACTCTTTGTTACATAGAAATCTTTACATTCTTTTTAGGGGGAAGTCTGGCTGACGTGATTGAAAGAAATGCAAAACAAAATGAAGCTATGGCAGAAGGAGAATTAAAACAGCTTCTCATACAAATAGCTGAGGTACTTGTGACCTAAACTGTTATAGAGATAACATGATTTTTATATTTGCATGTCACCATGCCTGAACTTACTCCTTTTTTGTGTAGGGTCTGAAGTATATCCACTCACTGGCTTTGGTTCATATGGATATCAAACCTGGTATGTTATTCTCAATGCTGTGTACATTCAGGGATATTTAGAGCCTGCATGGTTATTTTCATAAAAATAGTTATGCTTTCTGCATTTAAATACTTCATGCCATAAGATGACAATTTAATTGTAACATTTTCCACCAAGTCTTAATTCATTTGTGTCTTTCAGGGAACATATTTATCAGTTACAGCTCAGGTATTGATGAATGCAATCACAGTGGTGATGAAGGATTTGATGAAAATGACACCCCAGGCCCAAGGAAAAGAACACCACTTTATAAAATAGGTACATTGGAGTTTACCCTTAGACCAGCTCAGATGCTTTTCCTTACTACATGAGCTGAATTGTCTTTGAATTACAATGGACTGAAATGAATTTAGACTGGCTGTGTTGCTTCAGCTACATTAATCAATTAAATGCCTTAATCAGTTGTTAATATCTAAGCATGTGGGTTAGCTTGTATACAATTTAGCAACATGAATCAGTGTCAATCACTGTCATCCTTAGCTTACTCAAATAGGAAGAATGACTGAGCCAATTTGAAGCCAAAAACTACCCTGGCAAAAACATGCATATGCTTTAGTATGTACTTTAGCATAGATATCACCAAACAACTCTTTCTGTTTTTGTGGTTATTACTTCTAAACCAATTGGCAACAATTTCATTTTTCCTTACCTTAAGTTGAAGAGTATTTCATTTATTCAGAGATTATCCTATCAGCAGAGTGCTGCACAATTTTGTAAAAGCTTACCCCTGTCAGCCCAACTTTTGGCACATGAATTTACTTAGCTGTGTGATCAATTTTTTTTAAAGGTGACTTGGGTCATGTTACATCAGTGAGTAGTCCTCAAGTGGAAGAAGGTGACTGTAGATTTTTGCCCAATGAAATACTACAAGAAGTAAGTTCAACCAACTATAACAACTTCCTTCACAATATCAAAATACAGTTGCCTCCACATAGCTTTTTACCACTCTAACACATGTGCTTCAATTCCATTTTAGGATTATTCTGCCTTACCTAAAGCTGACATTTTTGCTCTAGCACTGACGGTTTTTCTAGCTGTGAGTATACCCTTACACACTTATAAACTACTATGTTAGTAAAAAAATTAATTAAATTACATTTGGTCGTGGCTTTTGAACTTGCCATGAAATCCTTCCTTCTAAAGGCTATAATGGATGGAAATTGGTGTCCAAGACTCACTAACTTTTAAAAACAGAAGGGAATGAAAAAGCAACAGAAAGTGATAAGCATGAGGGTTAATTTATCACTACTACACCAAAACAAAATAGAATTTGATATAATGCATTAATTTTCCTGTCAGGGTGGAGGGCCAGAACTTCCAAAGAATGGTGAAGAATGGCATGAAATCAGGTATGCAGCTAACCTCCCTGTAACTTTCATATAATAAATCACTAAAGGTGTTAATTGTTACTTAAGAATGTTCACTTCTTAAGGGTAAAAATTAATGTACTACAACCCATTAAAGCAACATCTTGGTACCCTTTCCATCACTCATATCTTTTTAAGGCCCCTGCTACTTGCAAGTGTAGGATACATATTTATCAGTAACTTAATGCACTTTCACTTTAAATATCTTCACTTAGTAGTATTGCATTTCAACAAACAGGGAAAGTCATTTTGTTTGTTCTTATCTCCCCTAGGAGAGGCCAACTACAAAATCTTGAGAAAATCTCAAAAGAAATGAATTCACTATTAAAGGTTGGTACCAGCCAGGGCTCTTATTCAGTGAAACCCACGGGCCCAAAATTGTAGTTTTAGAGTACTACATTCTCAGTTACTGCAATTTTGTTCTGCTATCGATTTACACACATTAGTAATAATCACTTCTTTAGTGTTTTTAAGTCAACCTGACTCAGGAAATATCTGAAGGTTGTTTGAAGGTTAATGACAACTGTGGAAATGATTGAACAAATAAAATGGAAAAAATTCTTACAAATTTACTCCTTGTTACAGCTAATGATTAACCCTGTGGCTAAAGACCGACCATCTGCCACAGCCCTGACACAACATCCAGTTCTTTGTCCTCTTGCAGCAAAATCCAAGGTAAGCTAAGTATAATTGATCATCAAAGTTTACTTCAACTGACTCAAATATAGAACACAGATTCATTCAGAAAACCAGAAAACAGTATTTTGTCATGTAGCACTTCATGCTTAGTTTTTCATTTCACAGGCCCAACTCAGAAAGGAACTGAATGCTGAAAAATTTAAAAATGAAGTCTTATCCAGGTAGAGTGAATCTCAATTGTTCTTATGAAGATATAACAAATGATGTTGCACCTCTCAGAAATCAAAATATTAAAAAAACATCAGTAAAGTAGACCATGAATAAGCAATCGCAGTTTGTCCTTCCTATTTTGGCTTGTCATTCTAACATGCCCTGGAAGTGGTTGTTCAAAGGAAAGTTTTCATAATTAATTTAAAGAAAAATTTTGCAGCCTTTTCTTATTAAACTGTCACTCTCTGACTATAAATAGAAGCTAGGCTATGAGCAGACCTCCTTTGCAGCAAAGTCTCACAGATTATTTGTTTCAACTAAAAATAACTGATCTATCAAAAGAATACTTTCAACAGAGTATTTTTATTTTTTCCTTTTAGGGAGCTGGAGGAGGCAAGAGTACAACAAAAGAACTCTCCTCAGCGTAAAATAGGACTTGGGTCTCAAACCCGTAACTCTAGAGTCATAGGACAGAAAGTTAACAGAAGCATGAGTTTAAGTGTCATTATGTGAATGATGATTGTTGTAAATACTGTTTTACTGGTTATCTCAGAGATAATGTTTTACCTTTTTTACAGGATTTTTTAACAGGTTACCTTGAATTTAGACTATATGAAATCATTAATTTTCTATATTTTTACATAACACAGGGTTTTACTGAATCAAATATTTTGAAAATGAAACAAAATTAATTGTATAAGGATGGGTTATTTAGGTGATATTGAAATAAATTTTTTTAAAACAAAGACATGGAATGTGTAGAAATTTATTGAATGCTCACAATGACCCGATTAATCTGAAATTAGAAATACAACAGTGACAACTATTTTTGTGCTCATTTTTGCATTGAAGATTGAGCCATCACTTGTCACTTCCTGGTTATCCTTTAACCCCTGAGAGTGATTAGCATCTTATTTCTATGCTGAATCAAACACCAAGGTCATGAGAATAAAGGAAATGATCAACACCTTTTAAAAGAAGCTCTTAACCCTTTAACTTTCATTAGTGACGAAGACAGAATTTCTCCTTACTCTATCTATACAACATCAGGCAGATAGGTGATGAGAATAAAGGAAAATATCAATTATGGGATCACAAATTGATCTGATACCAGATTCTCCAAACTACTATAATGAGAATCATTAGGCAGACAGTAAGGAGAATTAACATTGAGATCTTGGGAGTTAAAGGGTTAATAGGTTGACAAATATCAGGAAATGTACAAAGAACAGTATGGAGAATATGCAAACTGATTTTAGGGACCAATGGGTTAAGTGTGGGATGAGGTGGATGCAAGGTTGTATGACAAGATTTCAATTAGTCAAACTGTACAAATACATTTTCCTAACCGCTTCAATGGGAATCTAAAAATAGAGTTCTGAAGTAAAAGACATGCCCATTGAATTAATCTTCTATTACTGTTTAGACAAATTAATTCTTAGCTTACAGTTTGTGGTAAAAAGCACTCTGACTACTTTAAATGATAGCCTTCCATGGTTACTGATCACACTAGAACCCAACAATGAGCCCTTCCCTACCTTGACAGAAACAAGCAGCCCCAATGAAAGAGAAAGGAAGCTTCCTCAAAGATTTTGTTAGTAATCTATTACACCAGAGTCTCGCCTTTCATATGTCTGCATAAAATTTCAAACTATCAATTGACACCTTTCAAGTTGTGAGAAGTAGCTTAATGTCAACATTGTGTTTCACACTACATTGAATCCTAATTGACAAAAGAAACAAGTACCTCAAAGAAATACTTGACTTCCTTTTGTTATAAGCTTGGATAAATTATTTAAAAACCTTTGAACCCAGACGAGGATTCAAGCCTGATACCATCTGATTTCCTTAACAAGTAGTCCATTGCTTAAGCTACAAACACTCCTTAGCAAGATAAGCTCAAACTAGGTTTAGCAAATTAATTCATTACATTTGTCATTTAGATTCAGAAAAACTTTTTTTAAGTGGTAGCATGAATAGAAATCAATAAAATAATGGAGTCAGTAATGAGTTGTGCCATGGAACATCCTCGCCTTCTTTGAGAGTGTTTTACAGTTTTAATCCTCTACACTCCTGAAATACTGAAGAGTTTCTTTGTTTATGAATCAATTCTTTCTTTCAGAAATTTTGGCTTTTGAGATTCCCCCTGCCTAAAAGTTCCAATCTGTGATGCCCCCCCCCCCTCCCTCCTCACCCTTCTGGGTGATTATGGACATAAGAATAGAAAGAGAGTAAACCAGAATTAATATTTATTTAATGACCTTTACTGCAGCCCTGCATGTCAATGACAACAACCTCTAGTCGTCCCATCAAAATACATTTTTATGCAGATTAGTAAATACTGTAATTTTAATAGATAATTGTGATTATTAAATAAAGATAAACTTAAAAATGCATGTGGCTTGATGAGATTTAATTTTTAATAAATATGGATTTTTTTCAAATGAGATCCATTCATTTTGAAAATACACCCTAAAATACACCATATAAATGTGAGAAAAGATGGCTACATGTTGAGTTCTTAAAAATTGTCATTCAGAACCCAGTGTAACAAAAGAAGATTGCAAATTTAAAATTTTTATGAATTATTCAATATTTAGGAAGGAGAGTAAAAAACATCTGTCAGCTGCTTTGCAGAAGATTTCTGGAAATTATTAGTCGCATCACTTCATTGGTTCCTGGAAGAAAAAGGACCAAAGCATTCTATTATCAACAACTTCAAATTCTAGCAACTGTTTTATATCAAAAAACATCAAATATTACATTAAACAGCCTATACCAGTACTGTAGAAATAAATGAAAGAATACTGATGTTTACACAACTTTAAATCCAAAAATTTCCATCCATATTTATACTTATTCCAAATTATCATCATCTTTTAAATAATTCCCTGACAAAAAGGTTGTTAGACACACTGATAAAGATATAAGATATAATCCTGTGATTTTAATGATCAATCACTTGGTAATTGATAAAAATAATTTTTGTACCAGCATTCACTTTCTATTGCCCTGCTTCTTTTGACCTACCTTCTAGAATCTGATGAACTCTACAGTCTCTCATGTACTGTTGAACAGGGTAGTCCTTAAGGTAACCATACCCTCCGTGAATCTGGAGAGCTTCATTACAAATCTGAAAAATCAAATAAACCAACCAAAAGAACATCAGTTAGAATAATTAAGATTTGTGAATTCTATCTACAGAACAGCTCCACAGTAGCTGTGGCTGTGATACACACCTGAAAGCAATGATCTGTAGCAAATAATTTTGCCATGGAACACAGAGTGGGAGCCTCTGGTGACTTATTGTCCAAAGCACGAGCAGCCTGACGTACAATTAACCGTGAAGTCACCAGTGAGGTTGCCATGTCTGCTAATTTGAACTGAGTATTCTGGATAAAAAATGTGTTCCAAGAAGAAAACATTATATTTATTTAACTATTAGTTAATTCAAATTTCTATTTCTTCAGCAATTACATGCATTGGAACTGGTTATCTGTTTGTATATAATAAGGGTGTTTACTATTATAATTTTATCTACAGTGAGTAATTTACAACATGATTTTGCTTGAATCCCTAATAAACTTCATGATAGAGGGGCAATTAAATTAAGATGATTTTATTAGAATAAAAAGACGGATTGAAGTAATTTTTTAATTTTTTGCACCTGATTTTCAGCAAGTGGTCTGTCAAACTGTTTCCGTACTTTGGCATGTTCAACTGCTTGTACAATGGATGCTTGAGCTGCTCCTAGTGAGCATGATGCTAAAAAGAATGAAATTTTACATTATTACCTTGTAAAGTTAACTTGAAAATACTGAATTCTAATCACTCACCAACCAGTCATAAAACTAAATACAATATCACAGCACTAGCTTCAAATGGTGTATAGATCAAACATATTGTAAAATATTTTTAGGGAATATTTAAGGGAATGATAAAAGACATGGAAGGAAATAGATGGAAAATATCGGTTAACATTTATAAAAATCCTGAACCAACATTCTCAAATTTTACTTCAATTTGAACTGAAAAGTCCACTTTAATTGCATATAAATCAATTTCAATTGTTACAATCATGTAGGTATGGCAGTAGACTGCTAGTAAAGATATTGATCCTAACGACCATAAATTTAGAGGTTATAATCCATCACCATAGCAAAGGAATTTCCCTGTCTAATGAGAATCTATTGATTATCTTAAGTTAAGATGGAGTTACTACTAAATTAATTAGACATATATTATGTATCTGACTAGTTTATCAATCAATTACCAATTATTCTGAATGATACAAACCAATATTGATGCGACCCCCATTTAGTCCATGCATGGCAATACTAAATCCCTATGTTGTAAATATCAAGACATACATCAAGTTGTAAGGACTTTATCACATAAAAAATAAAAACACAGTGACTGTCATGATCTGGCATAGACAGTGGTTTTATTTTAAATCTGAAGTTCTTATGTCATTTCAAGACCAAATTTGCTTCAGAAATGCAAGGAATCAATCAACAATCACAAATTCTATATACTACCTGTCCTTCATATCCAACTATGTTAGAAACTGGAACTCTACAGTCCTCAAAGATTACTGCTCTTGTTGGCTGGGAATTCCATCCAACCTAACACACATATTTCAAAATTTAATACTTCCAGTGCTAATAACCATCATGGTTATTACTAGAACCAAAATTAATGAAGTGTAATTCCAGTTTGAAAAATAGATTGTGAGCAGCACGCCCACAACTTCCAAAATCGACTACTTTGAAACAAGTAAAGTTTATTCATCGTGATCCCCATTTCTACACACGCAGGGTGCAAGTCACTCAGGCCATTCACTTAAGACTTCACCCTCACAATATCAACAGGGAGAGCAGAACTGAAATCTCAGAAGTCTGGATGCTGACAATCAAAAAACACAACAGCTGGAGAGCAATGCAGCAACGGACCACAGAGGGGACCTGATCTGAAAGATGCACCAATCACGGTTGTGGAATTCCATCCAATCACAGCTGATTGAACAGTTTCATTCATTTGCTTTAGTTTATTGGGGACCCTGTCCCACAGAAAAAGTCCAAGGTTAATTTTAATTGAAACAGATGCACTTCTCTCTGGTTTAAAAATCAACCATTAATAGACATTGACAAACATACTTTCCTTTCTTTCTTGCCAAAACTCAATCCTGGTGTTCCTTTCTCAACAATGACTGATGAAATTCCTTTAGGACCTACAAATTTACCACAATTTTCCAAAATGTAAAAAAAATTAAATTAGCTCAAAAGTGGGATCATTTAGCAATTATGTAATACTACAAATAAATGTATTAACTAAATAAAGTGGTATACAGTAATTTTACATAATTTTTCTATAAAGATTATTGTACAAAATATTTACTAGAGACTACTGACAATGAGTGTTTGTAATTTACTCTACAAGGGTTAGTGTATAAACAGTCATTTCACTATTTAATAACTCTTTATATTAACATATGACTTCTCCCAATAATATCCATTAGCTATATCCTGTAAACAGGTAATGAGAATACTAAAACTTTTCACATTCAAGTTAATATCTTGATCTAACATCAAATTCTTATCACTAATTTACAAGGAAATGAGTTGTAACTAGTGGGGAGAATTATTAACTAGAGCTTGGGAGTTTCAGGGTTAACTAACATATCTCTTTGTAATGCACCTTGTTCTCCAGTTCTGACCATGACTATGTAGACATCATTATCTCCTCCACCACTGATGAATGCCTGAGATGACATAAACAATTTAGTCACAGGGTCATAAGTCAGTAAGGCACTGATTTCAGGAAAAGAAATTCTTAATTTATGTACAACATGAAAACCCTGATGAGCAAATTTATATACATGAAAAGACTGATGATTGAGTAAATATAGTTTGACACATCTAATTTGGGTCTACCCAAGATTTAAGTTTAAGCAGACTGTTACACAGTCAATCTGTGGAGCAATTTCAATTTAAAAAATCATATCACTTTTCATGTGCTAAATGTGATGCATTTATTAGTATTATTATTAGCTATTATTTTCCAAAGCAGAAGTGAAAAGTACTTGCTATTCACTTCTGAACAAGCCAATCAGTGCACTCAGAAAGCAATATTCACTTGTGTTGTATATACTAAGCTCTAATTTTAAATTTACACAATTACCCTGTTTCACTGAAGTATGTTAAGTTTTGAAATAAAGATTGAAATCTGAATGAAACATCAAATTTAGCTGAGCCCTTTTCAGGCTACAAAAAGCCCAAAAGCCAGGTACCAAGTGTGAATTCAAATTTGTCCCTTATTTGGAAATATAAAGATTCATTTCAAGCTTACTTTAAAGAAACCAGTATAATTAAACTTGCACAGTAAGAGTAATTTTCGAATGTGTTTTGAAAGCCACCCATTTCATGCCACTATTAGAACCCATCAAAAACAAGCCATAGCCAAATTCACCTAATATTGGTCTCTACCATTCATCTGCTCTTGAGGGATTTTGTTTAGTCTTGCTTTGAGTTTGTAGTGACTTTTTGTTATACTTTCCCTTGCTCTAACTGCCCATTTGTGATCATTACAAAAACCCTTTACACCACAGCATTTATTTAGTATAAATTTCTAGTCTTCATACTGTTCTCTTTAAATTTCCTATCATGTTGGTACTGACAAGGAGAATTTGCATGACAATCAAGAGCTCTTGATCTTCTCACATTTCATTCAAGGGTGATACAGTAAGGAGGAATAAGAAGCCAGTAATCCTTAAGGCTTAAATAGTAAGTTGGTTTCTATTTTACTACACACAACCAAAATGTGCTTTCCCAATTTAAGTCTCGGAATCAGAGGAGTTAATTTTCATCTCTGTCATCACCTTTGACCCATTCAGAATGTAGTGGTCTCCATCTCTTTTGGCTGTTGTTGACAATGAGGCAGCATCACTTCCACTTCCTGTCATGGACATTAAGAATAAAAAATCATATCAAAAAATACTAAATTTCAACCTCTAATTGGCTTTATTGACTATCTAAATTGATATAAAATTTTTTTTTTCTACAAGGGTGAGTATCTTTTAAAAGAATAATGAGTTATTCCTGAACCCTTCAACCCCTGGAAGCATGTAATTTCTACTCACAGAATCATGGGTATCAAGATCATAAGAATAATGAAAATGATTCTTAATTAAAGAAGCTCTTGATTGATTAGCAATTCTCCTCATTAACACCACAGGAAATATCCAGAGAATGGTGTGGAGAATATGCACAATGATGTTAGAGTGTAAAGAGTTATTCTACATACAACTATCAAATAAAAACAGTTCAGGTCATATTCCTAAAAGTATAATACCAACACACTATTAATGATAACTCTAAGTCTAAATGAACTTGGTCATAATGACCGATGATCAAAAATTAAATTTCTTTATCGAGAATACTAACCAGGTTCTGTTAAGCAATAAGATCCAAATTTCTGAAAACAGGTAGAAACAGTGTTAAGAAAAATAATTTAAAACATTTATTGCAGGAAATGCTTTTGCTATAAACCTAATAAGTTTTTGTAATAAGTTTTGCCGCATATGGCACCCACCAATGTATCCAAAAAGGTGCAGAAAATATCACCAGGTAATGGTAAAGTATTGGCATAAGTGGTCATGTTCAAAAACACTTTCAATTTTGTCTCAAGTCCAACACTCTGGCTCTGATGCATTAGTTCACAAATTATTTATTAATGACTACAACAAAACAAATTAAGCCCCTTACACAAGGCAATATTAATAAGACTAAATTATTAACTGAAGAAAATATAAGAAAAACATTTCCTACTTAACCTGCATGGAAGCTAATTCAGGAACAAATCTTTCTCTGAGTTCTTCTGAACCAAACTCATCAATCATCCAAGCAACCATACTGAGTGGAAAAAAAAAATATGATATGATGTCTTGTGAACTGTTAGTGATTTTAGGAAAAAAAAAACCCTGAATATGCCTCGGAAGAATTTCAATAATCTCACTTGTGGATGCTGAGATAGGCTGTTGTGCTGACACATCCAGTGGAAAGAGCCTCAAATATTACAGATGCTTCTAATCTGGACAATCCACTGCCTCCATGATCTTCCTTTGCATAAATAGCTGAGAGAAGAAAATTATGAAACAATAGAGATCAAAAGGATGTGCTGACACATCCAGTGGAAAGAGCCTCAAATATTACAGATGCTTCTAATCTGGACATTCCACTGCCTCCATAATCTTCTTTTGCATCAATAGCTCAGAGAAGAAAATTACCAATCAAAAGATTTCCAAAGTAGCTTTATACACAGCGTAAAATGATGTGTAATTAATATATACCTTAATGAAGAAATGGACAAATTGAACAGGTTCTCATTACATTCACAACCAATTCACATAAGTCTTGCATTTTTCCAATTTGAAAACTCATACAAAAGAATCACACATTCAAAGAATGTAAATTAGCAATTTTTATTCTTTCTTTTTTCATTTAAAAGGTTAAGAAGAAACTTATTCTCTTGGGTGTTGCTTAAAACTTAGACAACTGATTACAATAAAATCTGTCATTAAAATTGATAATCTCAGTTTAGATTTAGTGGTCAAAGACTAGTAGACAATCGACTGAATTAACCATTTCACTCCCAAGATCTCACTGGTGATTCTCCTTACTGCATCTCATATAGTTCTTATGATTCTAGTTTGAAGAATTTGTTATTGGATCAACTAATAATATCCTTGTTTGTATTTTTCTTTTTTCTTGTTTCTTGTCAGCTTGATAATGTATTAATATTGTAAGGAGAAATTCTGCTTTGGTCACTCATGGGAGTTTAAGGATTAGGACCAGAGTTTAAAATAACACCTACATTGGATAAAGATACCCTAAAAAGGAAACAGGAAAGACCACATACCAATGTGTAATCCACAGTCATGAGATTTTTTTAACTTTTGAGTATTCAGTATTTTGGATTACAGGTAAGAGACATTGTCAGTTCATAAAGAACTAGATAAAACAGAGAAATTAACTACCTGCAGTCCTGCTTATCATATCAGTTGCAAATTAGAGATTAGCTCTGTCAAAGTTTCCTTACCTCCAAATCCCAGTCCAGCCAGTCTCTTTAACACATCCACAGGAAATGTTTCCTGAGAAATGCAACGCCACATTTATCGTTGAGGTTAAAGTTTACATGACTTAAAGGCATATGGTTACTGTTAGGTTAAAAACTGAAAATAAATCTGATAATCTACCATAATGATAGTAAAACTATACAATTTTTCTAAAAAAAAAAATTGAATCCTTTTTTTTCACAAACCTCCTGGTCCCACTTTTGCATTTCAGGAGCAAGTTCATTCTTAGCAAACTCTAGGGCAACTCTTTGAAATTCCCTTTGATCATCTGTAAGTCCAAGTGATGCTGAAAAGGAAACAAATTTGAAACATATAATTGTCAGCAATTAATGAATTCTCTCGGGTCAAGTATTTCTTGACCATATCCCTCCATGATCTCTTAAACACAATCCGCTGTGCTCCACCTTTCCCTCACTTTCTCTTCGCGTCGACAGCTTTTGACTGATTTTCTGAACATTTATTTAATACATACTACTTAGATCAGACTCTGTATTACGCAAGACTCAGCTCACTACAAATTCAATTTCTAAATTCGAACTAGTAAGCAATAGATACGAATTTACTACCATCTATCAAAAATAACGATTTTCTTGAGAAAGAGCTTCAATAAAAGCTGTGTTTAAGTTTTCAGACTTACATTTATGTATTATTATTATTATTATTAGCAAAATCACTTGGTACCCAACGTGACGTGCTAGTGCACGTGCTAGTACATCACACTAATCGATCACCGATTTTCCAACGCATAACAAAAACACTTACGATCTACTATCGTTGTCATACATCGGTATGTAGTCTTTCCTGTCTGACCCACCCATTTTTGAGTGGTAACTCTAGGAAGATTCCGAATTCCAAGGCAAAACAATGAAGCAAAATTCCGTGATCCTTTAATAAAATTGTTCGCCATATTTGGCTTAGGAACCTGGCGATCTCATCTTACAGGTACCATATCCCAGTCGCAACTTCTCAAGCATCAGAGAGTCCTACTTTCAACATGACAAGAGGGGTCCGGCTATTCCAGAATGATCTCTAAAATTTGCAAAGAATTCGACTATGGATTTCTGCCATTATTTTAATCAGACATCTGTAACCTGACTAAGCAGACAAATAATAACAATGGTAATAATGCTTAGATTGTAAATCAGAAGGAATATTTTCTCCTTCAGGCAGATAAACACTGTTCAAGCCATTAAAAGACACACACAGCCAAGGTAATGCATATTCACGGAAAAAAACAAAACAGAAAGGCTATTCACTCTCTTGTGCCTGTAACTCAAAGATTTAAGGGGGTTACTTGATACCCCTTTATCACAAAAAAAAATATTTGGCCTTTTCATGCATCACAAATAATATCCAAAATCCTTCCATGTTCATGCAAAATTTGAGCCAATCACATTGAATAAATATCTTACTTTTTGTAGGCTTTGTCTTATGCGACAAAAGATGACATAATATCTTATCTCATTTGTTCAAGAACCATTTAGTGGCCTGTTTGTTGACTTTTAGTGATCCATAAGAAGTCCATCCCCCATCAAAACCCTGGTCAAAACCTAACCGCAGCCACTTGAGAACAATACATACATTTTTAAAACAACAAAATAGCTGGAAATCCATCACCTAAAACAAAATGGTTCACAAATCACATTTAATTCAGCTCTTAATTCACAGGCCACTTTTAAATAAAAAATTTTGTCAATGTGGACATAAAAATATCTTACCATCTTTCGTCACGATTCTCAATTAAAACAAAAAAACAAATCATGATTCACAAGGCAAAGAAATTGCCCAATTACAATTCATGTAAAAAGTATAGGGGACCCTCTTAAAGAATAACTCTACACAAAGCCTACCAGGAGAAGTTATGTTCATTACCAAAGTAATAAACAAAAATTCATCTCCAAAACATTTCCACATGCATTCAGTAGTTTTTAAAGTATCACTTGTTATAAATATATTCATTTTTACAGATATCTAGTTTCTTTTTACATTGTGATTAAAAATTGGTTTTGGTTTGCAATGCTACAGTAACATGAATTTTAAGGTAACGCTGTGACAGCAGTATGCATGATATACAATACAATGCAATACAATAGCTTTATTTGAAATGCAAAATAATGGACCAAATAGACTAAAAAGACTATCTGGTATTACACCATCTGCATAGATATAGTACAAAATCTGTATATAATAAAATTATAATAACTACATAAAAAAGGACTAAAAATGTCATGATACAAAATAGTAAAAATAAGAAACTATAAGAATAAATAAATTATAACATAGTCCTTAAAGTATACATAACATATTTTTTATGAACATTGTATTAATTAATTAAAATTAATTAAAATAAAATTTGAATTACATTTTTCAAATCCAAATGCAACATTCAAATCACAACATATTAAATAAGCTGATCACAAAGCAGCCACAGTAGTTAGAAAACCAAGATGTGGTTTTTGGCTGCTTGGCATAAAATATACAAACCAAATAATAAATACAGCAATGCACTGTACAAATAGGACACTGTATTGCTCTCAAGAAGAAAATATCCAAGCTACAATTATTTCGAGTCATTTTTTTTGGGTCGCTGTGTGAACAAGTATCTTAAAATTTATTTTAACTAGATGCAAATCAATCTTATCTAGTTTTCTATCTAATTTGATTCATATACACACCCCATCCCAATTTATAAATGCCAACTTTGCAGCAAGCAGGCCATCTTGGAAATGTACACATGAAACATACTTCTTCCATGGGTCTCCTAAATAAAGAACAAATTTTCCAAGAATAGCACATTGTTGCTGCTAAAAAAACCACAAATCATCAGGATCTGTTTCTTTATGTCCTAAGACACTTTTCTCCCAGTCACCAAGTTGCCGTAAAAATCCACGATTTGGCTGAATACAGTGTCTTCTATCCTTGACAAAGTCATAAGCCATTTTAAGGCTCCATTCTCTTGACTTCATCAGATATGCAATGACAACCGTTGAGCTGCGGCTTACACCAAGATTACAATGCACAAGAATGCACCCACCAGTTGACAAGGCATCATCTATGAAATGATACGCCTTTGTAAAATAAAGTTTTAAATCACTAGAAGGACTGTCATCAAGCTTAATATTCAGATACTGAATGTGATCAGTGAAAGGTGAGGGGTGCTCACTACCAATGTTTACAACATGTGTGAGCTTGAGGTCCAATAATATCTTCTCATTAGTAGCTTGAACACCTCGGCCTAAATAGAGCTGGTTTTCCAAAATGAGGGATGGATATGGTGTGATTTCCTTATGGTCATGCCGAATAGTAAGTTCCTTTGCTGTGCACATGAAGGGCCAAGTTTGATTAAAACAATCATAACCCGAAGCTAGCAACATAGGCTCTACCAACTCATAATTCATGAGCTCTCTCATGAGTTTTATTTCAGGTAGATCTCCACTTTTAGTGTCTAAAACAGGGTTTCCGTACACAATTAGGTGAGTATACTCGCTAAGACTGTTGGCAATGGCTTGTTCGCCACTACTGGCCATGTAACCATACCCAAATGTGGAAGAAGTGAGCAAGTCATTGTACAGAGATGCTGCACAGTGCGCCAATATTATATGACCTCGTTCGTATTCAGATCGAGGTCTAGCGTCTACGAGAAGCATATAAGAGGGATCGAAAATGCTACAGTTTAGACCTCCATCCCAGAAATAGTTATACAGTTCATTTACAGAGATTAAATGTGATGCATCAATGCTCCCGCTTGTCTGCCCCGGAAGCAGACCTGGAGATTGCGGGACTACACTGGAATTCGAGTCCTCCAGATCTTGTTTTTCTTCCCCAAAGACATGTGAACCATTCAATACCACGCTATTGCATTTCTTTTCACTCAAGTAGCCATTCGAATTCGCTCCATTTGAGTTCTTCCCTTTGTTGTTCTTTTTCAGACCTGACACAACAGCGTTTTGCTTGCCACTGTGTTTCCCTTCTAGGGGGCTTAACTCCCCCGTTGGTTTGGAAATTGCTTTGCTGTCCACCAATGTCTGTGCCTTAATATCGTCTTGAGAATTAGTTCTCTTTGACACATGCGAAATCCAGAATATCTTACTATCTTTCCTTTCCATATCGAGAGTTTCTTGACCTGTCTTTTCGGCTTGCCCCGGCTGTTCATCTTTCTTTTTACTTTTGACAGCTTTGGGGGTCTTTTTGGGCCGATCGATCGAACCATCCATTTCAACTTTTTTCTTGGACTTCTGCTTTGGACTTCGCGAAAGAGATCCACCCATTAGTGAGGCTTAAAGTACAATCTTTACAACTTTAAAAAGCTTGTAACAAGAATTCAACTTGCGCAATGACAACTTACATCGAAAGTCTTTTGTTTACTTTGTGACTAAGAGCAAATAATTCACAATGTACAAACAATGTTGACTGAGAGGTCCTGGTAACTGCGTCCACGAGACACAACAGTTAGCCTACACAACGAAGGATCCTTACAAAATGGAAATTTGCTACAAGCTATGATTCCCGGAGGAAAGCTCCACCAGCTAGAAGAATAAATCGGTTAGTACACTATAAGAGCGGATTGAAGCCTGCCAAATAGTAATAAAAACAACTAGCGAAAGTGAGAAATAAAAAATGTGCGTGGTGAACTCTGCGAAATCTCCTCTACGTTTGTGAATAACTTAATGCGTCGTTTTGGTCTAAAAGCTCAAAAGTAATTTGAAATTTTAATTGACGCTATGCCGTACTGTCTATATGGTGTAGTCGATGTACGTTGTCGATGAATAATTCGAATGCGTGACACGACACTTATCTGACCGGAAATGCACATGGAAAGTGACGCAGCATGTTTTATAAGAAAGACCATGTTTGCTGGGAAAATGTAACTGACCCCACAGGCGGCCCAAGCTCCAACTATGATGTGATCATCTTGCGCAATAACAGTCAAAAAAGTTTGTGTGAGAATATTTGCGACCGCCCTAAGGAGTAAACAAAATATGTCAAATTCTCAATAAAAATACCTCACCTTACTTCCACAGCGTATCGCTTGTTATCTGACCGCTTACTTTGATGAAAAGAACCCATTTTAGCGAGATGTGGATTTCGAGGCTTCTCTTGTGTACGTCAATTTTTTCCTCACTCGCAAATCATTAGCATATTTCCATTTCGCAAACTACAGATTTCTATTCTGCAAATCACTAGCATATTTCCATTTTGAAAATTACAGATTTTCACTTCGTTTCGTTTCGTAAATTACAGTAGGCCAATAATAGCGCCATTATAAGAAGTGAAGAGCGAGCTAGCCATCTCCCCTCACAACAATAACCAGTTCATCTTCCACGGGAAACTGAAACAATCTTCATAATTTAGCCTTTGAAGATTTTGCCTCTGGACCTTGAACTTGAGGAGTCCCTGTGCTGCTGAACAGCACTATCGTAACATTGTTGGACTTATAAAAACCAGATTTTTTTGAAATACATGTCGTCAGGGCATCCAATTTCAGAACTTTTTTTTTTAATCCTGAAGCTGTTCTAAACTTCCTTTCCACTTGAAAAGTGTTTCTCGTCCCAGTTCAATAGGTTTTCAAAAGGCAGTACAATGTCAACCAATTCGGCTGAATTCGCAGAGCCCTCAGAGACAAGTCACGCCCGATCTCTACACCAGTGCTGCGAAACCCCCCTGTTTAGTTCGAATATTCTCATCACCTGTTTGCCTGATAATGTGTGAATATTATGGGGAGAAGTTACATTTTCATTACTCCTTGGATTTGCGCAAAGTTCGAACAAAAAATGTTTTGGGGGAATTTTCGACGAATATGAAGTCTCGAAACGTTTATCTTAAATATCTAGTTACCAAAAAGTAGTGTGCACTTTAAAAGGGGTACAGTAAAGGTGTCATCAGAGACTGATTTGATATAGGTCAAAAACATGATCACAAACTTGTTAACCCTTTAACTCCCGTGAGTGACCAGGAGAGAATTTATCCTTACTATATTGATACAATATCAAGTGATGAGAATAAAGAAAAATGCATTGGCGACTCAGTGTTGAAAAGTATAGAACTATTTTGCCAGGTTCAAGAAGTTTCTAGGAAGTTAATCCACATCATATTTTCAATATGATGGAGCACCTGCACTTCCAATTCACTGAAAACAACTGGAAGTCAAGATGTTTATTTTATTACAAGATGCAATATCTCATTTCTTAATAGAATCCATACTCAATTTTTATATGTTCTGGCTTCATCCATTAAATCCATTTTCAATTCAGATCAAATTAGCCACGTCATTATTATTATTATGACATATTTCCTATTTTTCTCCACAATCTCCCAAAATTATAGTTTTCTGTACATGAGAACCATTTTAACACCACCATTATTATTAGTCTAAATGAAGGAAACAGTGTGAAACAATACATATCAATTTCACAATTCTATACCACATGTTCAAAATAATGGTTTTCTCTTCAAATAAGGACATCTTATCTCATTTTCAACTATTTCTTAATCTTTGCAGTATATGATGACTAATTCCAATTCCATTCCATCACTGGTCTTCTCTTGAGTGCCTTTGCGTCATCATCACATGCTCTGTAGAAACTAGGGCCATGTGTACACTGACACTAAGAGGAAAAACCACGGACCGGTCAAGTTGCAAAACTACCTTTTCCTCATCAGGGTCTAGAGTCATATCTAAGAGTCCAGAACATTTATAATAGCTTGTACAACCCTTGACATCAAATGCAGCTGCAGCAACTCTCACCACTAGGTTTCTTTGTTGATGAAGACAAACTGCACCACTGACTGGATGTGTGTACGTGTTGCGCCTCAATGAAAGCTGCTTTGTCTTGGGGCTGTATGTCATAATAATGTCAATACCATATGAGAATCCTGTCCAGCGCCAGCAATACTAACAATTGAAAAGAAAATGTAACTGAACTTTTGGTTCAAAATGCAGCAATAACAGAGATTATGTTTTTTACACTTCCCTTTCCATAAGATAAAACATATCAAATGAATATGAAAGCAGTTTTTGTAGAGGCTTGATTTTTTTTTTCAGGCCTTATTTTCATAACTGCTTAAGTAGTGTTCATTACAGCAAAGATCACTTTCATATTCATTTCTTGATCAGCAGTTCACATAATTATATGATTTTTCATCTATTCACAGACGCCATTTCAACACTTCACAGGTTTATTACCAACCAACATAATGACCAGCTCTTAGTCGGCTAATGTTACCTCAGTTGGTAGAGCACTGCACCAGTGTCACAGGTTCAAATCCCATATAGTCCTGAATTTTTTTTTCAGGCTTTCTTTTCACTGCTGCTTGGATAACACTCATTACTATGAAGATGGCTTTCATATTCATTTCTTAATCCACAGTTCACTTAATTAAATTATTTTCATATATTTGCAGTCATTACAATACATATCATGGATAAAAGTATTACCAAGCTATGCTATGGACAAATATATGCTTCAAACAAAGCCTTATTTTGGAGATATTGTTTAGCTACTTGCTCATAGCAAGTAACTTCCCAACTTATTACTTGGACCTCTCTACTAGACAAGACCTAAAGAGTGACAGTGGAATATACACCTTGAAAACAAAAATTATTCCTGTATAGCATTCCATTGGTCACCTGTGGGGAGACTTCATATGCAAGACATCAATTCTCCTTGGTATTCTACAATCATCAATACATGTACTGTGCAGATTACTGGTAATACCCTCCCTTCCTAATCAACATTGGCATTCCAAACCATACCTTTTATTTGATACTACAAAACCAAGATGAAATGAGTTTGACATGGTCAATCTTATCTTCAAGCAAAGGAAGGACAGCAACACTACATGTTGTGTTACATGTGCTGGCTGACAAACAAATCAAGAAAGGAGATCTGGAGCTACAGGTCCCCTCTCTGGCTAGACATATTCATTGGATAGTGTATCAAAAATCACTGCAACCCCTGGTATAAGAGAGGTTGCTTGGTGAATAAAAAATTATCCTCTCCAATTGAAATAACTGTAATCTCGACAAATAAGCACCCAGTGAAAAGGAAATGACATACCGATGAACTCCTTTCCAATATTCGACCACACCTGAGAGCACTTCCACCAAATTCATCAGCTAAAGGTCCTGGGTCCCTACTTTGGGACATTGCTAGCATGGAAGTCCACTGTTTCTTGTAAACTGGATGCATCCAATCTGAAAACAAATACAGTATCAGATAGGGAGAAAACTGTTCAAAAAGATATAAAGTTATTGATCAGGAATCAAACTTTCAAGAAATATGTTACTTATAAAGTTCCTCTCTCTTAGTAATCTACAAACCACAATGAGAGGTCTGTAAATAAAACCAGGCTGTGCAGTGACTTTTTCCTTCTTTTTTCCTTTTTACAATCATGTCATTTGATTGTTGCACTGAACACTACATCAGGAGGTCTATTTTTAGGCCATAGCCTAATCATACCATTTTATTGATGGGGAAGACACTTTACTCTCAAAATGCATCTCTCCACCAAGGAGCGTGAATGGGTACAGAGTGGGGCTAGCCAAGGATGGACTAGTATTCCATTTTGCAGAGGTAAGAATACTCCAAGTTGCATAGTGTTGTGGAAACTGGGATAAACTCTATTGGGATGAAGCTTGTGTTCAGTTGAGTCTGTGTTCGGACTTCAATATGACAGACTTTTGACTTTTGTCCACATACCAGTTTATCTAGTTGATAAGGTGTTTGAAGTGGACTGTGTCTCATGAAAATATGTCAATTCAAGTTGGCAGTTTCTCTATCTGCTATCCTTGATTTCACCAAGCATCAGAAATACTGCCAGCCAGAATGCCTCTCCTCCTATGTGGGATGCTAGTACATACCAGCCAACCCTCCCTCCCCTCCCCTTTCAAAAGCACATTCACAAGGTTTCTCTATTAGTTCAAAGGTAACAATTTTTTTTCTCGAGTGGGATGAGGCACTGTTAGAGAACATAAAACAATGACCTGGTTACAGCTGAAACCAAGAACCCTTAAAGCCGTGATTTAGAGCTTGCAAACAAGTAGAGCCAACCCCTAGGTCTCTCAAAAATCTAGTAAATAGAAAAAGAATTAAACTTTTTACCTTGAGGAATAATTCTGTCTTTGTCGAGAAGATGAATCGAACGCAGGTCATTAACAACATGGTGAAGTCTTATAGCTCTAAAGGCAGGCACAAATACCTTGCCCTCATCAGTATCCAAAAAACAATTCAAATCAGAGGGTCTCAAAGAAAAGTATGTATTACTCTGTTCTCGTATGTCTTTCCAGCTCCCCTTGCAGTCAGGGAAAAGTTGGGTATACACCCAAACTTTAAGTAAGTTGTATACATCCACTTCAATTTGCATCACGAATAATCCTTGAGAATTTACAAGTTGAGTCATCAGTTCAATGCTACAAAAAGAGAAAAAGGTAGATTGCTAAATATTTCTTTGGTTGATTCATCATCAATACCATCCATTCAGTTTTAGAACATATCCATGACCAACATTTAGTGCATGTTTGAAAAGCCAGAAATTTTCAAGAAATATATACAAGGCTTTTTTGTAATATTCTAATCCCTAGATACCCTTTGGCAGCTTCCTTGAAAATGTCAAAATATTATTAAAGGACCCCAGCTGTGAACTAAACTGCTCAGAAGTTTGTGAAAATAACACGACAGGAAGATCAAAATAGTTTCATTGTTTTTTATTTTATGATGTATTGCTACTTCCACACTTTCTTGTTTTATTTTCCATACAACACCACCATTACCCTTGAATCATTAAAATTCAAGGTTATCCTACATCTGCAGCGCAGAGAGATGATTCTTGGCATGCTGATGGCAATTCACTTAATAAAAAAAGAGAAGTTGCTGAATTTCTTTTCAGGCTTCAACACAAGCCTATAAATTAACAGTGTTCGTAAGAGGCTGAAGCATTTTCATGGCAATATTGCATGTGTGTCAAAGACAATTATAATTACTTCAACTTGTTCAAGAGAGTGAGAAAAAAGTGGCAGTAATATAGATCTGTCAAAAAATGGTGTTGAAAAAATGGTGGATACATTTAGAGCCACTCCATTATATGTTCCTACCTAATATCCTTCAAAAGAGACACTGATGTCTCTGAGGTAAGTCTTCTTTCCAGCCATTCTACACACTTGGTCTGTAATTCTGCCTCACAATATTGTGTGGCTGCAGCATAATAAGCACAAACTGTAGATTTGTTGATCGTTTCTATCATTGCTTCAGAGCACTGTTGACATAAGCCTTCCTACAAACAAAAAATATTATAACATAGCTAGTAAATTTGTCTAATCAAATTCAATTGTGCAAGCGTACTTCATATTCCTATTGTGCACACTCATGACATCAGCAAACAAATCCCTTGAAAAAAAAATTTTCCATCAAGTTGAAAATGTTATAAAACAATTGGTTCATGCGTCAGCTGTTTGTTCATCGAGAAATGAAGCACTTGGGAAGTTTGGAGGGCACTCAAAAAGCTAGAGTTGCTCTCGGCTATGCCTCAAGAAACTCTTATACATCTTTTGTGCTCTCCAAACTTCCTGCATGCTTCATATCTCAATGAATGCAAGATGACGCATGAACCAATTTTTAATTGACCACTGGTGAGTACTATTGCATTATTGCACTGTTTTGTGCTATTACAGTAACAAATGAACAATATCAAAGCCTTAGTTAAAGCTACAAACCAGCAGTAAGGAGAGGAATAGACCTTCACAAATTATCTCTGAGTCAGCACTTATAATAAATCTGATTAACTACTAAAAATAACCCTGTCTAAAATCAAATGTTTTTGAAAATTTCAAGATAGACTTGGAATAATTTCAAGTTAACTTGACTATAAATTAATGTAAGATACAGAGCAAACCTACAAAAATGCAATGTAATAAAGGAAAAAGGGATTCATAGTAGAGAAACTACAATGCAGCAATATTCTTTAGTTGTGATATTTACCATGTTCTTTAACCTATATGTAAGTATAGGTTCTCTTAGGCCTGTAGATAGGATATTTTTAGACTAAATAACACCAACTAGAAAAAAATCAATTTGAAATCAACAAAGCAGCATATGATAGATTCCTTGATATAAAAACCCACCAGCTGAAGAAGGTTAGCAGCAGCTAAGAGAGGTACCACTGTAACAGGGGTGATACTCACTTCATCACAATACAATGAACCAAATGCTGTATTCAGGGCTAAATACAAAAGCACAGTTAATTATCATGAAATAATTTTGAGTGTCTAAATTGATAAGTCAGAGAGTTCCCTCAGCCTGACTTCCTACCTTCAATATCAATATTTTCATCTGGAATCTCCAAAGTTACATGGTTTTCATTAGACTCTTTCCATGATCCATTGAACATGCTTTGGAAATATTTAGACTGCAATCCAAATAATAAAAAACATATAAGGAATACATCTCATACCAAACAGAAACTTCCAGAATGGATATTAGGCTTACAAAGACAGTAGGCACAGATATAACCAATTTATACTTCAGTGAGGTAAACATATTGCAATTTATAATTCTATAAATCAAAATTAATAAATTCAAGCATATCAAATTGAAATTAAGTTTATGAAAGGCTTCTCAAACCTGCATGTATACAATCTGAATATTCTTCAAGAATCTGTGAATCCATTCAAAAATCATCCCCAATGAAAGACTTCATTTGTAAACTATATTACCACTTATATTTACCTGACACAAGTAGATTCTGTGAAGTTTCCATTCTTTTCCTGTCATTCATGAAGTGAAAAAAAAGAGAGAATTTGAATTCTTATCTTATGTGTAAAAAATTCAAGTATGAAATTCCTTATGGTGAATTTCTGTGCACATTGCTTTATTATGAACATCATGTAGGCAGTGTAGCGGAGTGTTTAGGGCACTGAGCTTGTAATCTGGTAGTCCCAGGTACAAGCCCTTCACCCTTCCACCCAACCTGGTGGATTTGTTCTTGGTGTGTGAGAGTTTTCAGCTCACCCCTCTCTTGTGAGGAGGACCGTGCATAAGTTACTTCCATATAATTATGGCTTGACCATGTGCAAGAATTGTGAGAGCAAGAAACTTTTTGTGAGAGGGAGGAAAAACCAGTTGTTTGCAGTGAGATGAAAACGGAGAAAAACACAATGCATTCAGTCTCATTACAAGTATCTGCAAGTGCACATGTCATAGGACCAACCAATCCACCTCCTGGTAGTTGGGACTTTCAAAACAATTTGTTTATACACAACAATCAATTTGTTCATATTAGCCCTAAACATTGCAATTGAGGGAGTGGTAATTACGTATATATGCATACACATATTGTTCTGAGAATAAAAATACAGCAAACATGAAGTATCATCAGCTGAAATTCATAACTAACCAAGAGCTTCTATTGTCACATCAGTCCCTTCACAATCAAGAAACAGTGTCTGATAAATGTAGTCACATGTGCCTTTCAGCTTTTTCCTATATAAAAAAAATTATGGTAAAAGAGATGCTCTATTTTAAAATGAATGTGGGAATGCCAAATGATTTAAAACTAGCCGGAGGTGTGTGTGTGTGTTTTGACTTACACACAATACGATATTATGATTGTCCTTCGACAAAGAAAGTACCCAACAATTAAGTTTACAATAACTTTTATCAGCAGAAATAAAAGACGTCATATGTCTTACACAGTGCTGAACTAACACTGCATGGTTTATAAGTATGGTTCAGTGACGGTACTCTACAAGTTATTTACAAGAACGAGCTTGTAAAGACAAACACCATTGGCATTTCAATTTCGTTTGGATGTATTCGTGAGGCCTGCTCAAGAGACACAGTGGCAGCTATACTTCTCGTTGTCACCCTATGGGCCGAAATTCCTGAATCCTACCTCTACGCTCAAAGTAGTAACATTAAAACCTTACAGTTATTCAGCTTAAGTTAGGGTTGTTTACAAAATACCTCTTCACTACATCGACGACCCTATCATCCTCTGTTTGACCACCTTCTTCGTCTTCGCATTCCGAATGTTTTCTTTTCTCGCCTACTGTTGATATCGTAGAGCCCATTTTAAAAGTTTCACAAAACTTCCAAACTATGATTCTGACATTTAGCTGCTGAATTCGGCTTTACCAGCAGCGTAACCTCGCAACTAGCCTGTGGTCGGCCATAACTGTTTACAAGTCCATAATGCTTTGCGCTAAAAATACGTCTGTTTCAAATCAGAATGGATTTATGGGTAATTTGGCAATGGCGACTTCAACTTTCCATGCTGTCTAGAGAACGAGGCAAGAATTGACGCTTTCTGCTCGCGGCGAACCTCATTTTAGCTGGGTAAGTTGTTAAGAGAGAGGGTTCAAAGTGCGAAGGAACATATAAGTTGCGCATCCGAACTTCAAAAAAACGGATCGTTTTGGGGTAATATGATTTTGTAATAGATTTCCCGTGTTTTTCTCAAAAGCCAGCTGTGAATAGAACCTTATAAGTTTCTCGTTAACTTTGAACAGCGATGAACTAGGCGTATAATCATACATTAAGTGTGTAATCTTACATGAAGCTTTCTTTTCTTTAAAGAGAAAAGTGGATAAAAGCGATCGCTTCCAACTAAAGAATGCCTCCTACTTGTTATTTTGAGTAGTCCATCGTTTTAGTTTGATATTCATAGATTTTTAACTTCGTATACGTAAACAGATTAGGGATAGGCTGTGTTAAGGAGTTGCTTGTTAACTTAAGTTTTTGAGGTTTGGTCTTGTTACATTTTACACTAGAGCTGACTTGTGATTCATTTTTTTTTTTTTTATCCAGAAAGTTTTAAGAGCCAAAAGTTCCAGAAATTGTTTTCTTCAACCTTGATTCCTCTGAGATTTGTGATAAGACTTGTCTAACAGTGCCATATATTTGTATCCCATGTTTAAATTTTGTTCTACTATGGCAACTACAGGAGATAGTGGTGAATCAGAAAACAAGACCAATTTGATAGTCAACTACATTCCACAAAGCTACACTGATGCTGAATTTAAGGCACTGTTTGCAACTATTGGTCCGACCAAGAGCTGCAAGATCTGCCGCCACAAATCAACAGGCTACAGTTATGGCTTTGGCTTCGTAGAGTATTTTACACCTGAACATGCACAGCTGGCAATCAATACACTCAATGGTCATCGACTAGATAACAAAACCTTGAAGGTTGCCTTGTCAAGAAAAGGAGGAGAGAAGATCAAGGGAGCAAATGTATATGTCCGAAATATACCAAAATCATGGACAAATGATGATCTGAAGGCACTTTTCAACCCTTATGGTAGCATAGTCAATACCAAAATTCTCATAGACCAGTTAACCCAGTCCTCCAAAGGTGTTGGGTTTGTCTTATTTGATCTAAAGACAGAAGCTGAAGGAGCTATCAATGCCTTAAACAACACCATGCCCCCTGGAGGCACTGAGATCATGTTTGTACGTTTTGCAGATGACAACACAAGTAAATTAAAGCCCCCACCTACAGCTGCTGCTTCTCAGCGTCCAAGTTTTAACTTGCATCCACAAGGTGCTATCGGACCCATGGCACAAGCCATGATGAATCGTCGTGCCAACCGCTACAACCCCATGATGGGAGGACCTCAAATTCCTCCACCCATGGGGTTCAGCCAGATGTCTTCCCAGGGTGAAGGATTCACTCTGTTTGTTTATAATATTGGTGCCAGGGCAACAGAGGCTGCAGTTTATGAACTTTTTTCACCTTATGGTGAAATAAAGAAAATCAACATTATGTGGGACTGGGAAAAATCTCAGTGTAAAGGTTTCTGTTTTGTAACCATGGCTACTCTGGCACAGGCTCAAGCTGCAATACTTGCATTGAATGGTTTTATGTATGATCAACGTCCTCTACAAGTGAAAATTAAAACTCCAAAGATGTAACTTACTATTTGGCACACAAAGGGACAAAAACAGAACAAAGTTTATCAGCAGGTTTTTACTAATAATCTGGTTAGTGACTTAACTTGTTAGAACTGTCATTACAATAATAAATACTGTTGAAATTTGTTTTTAATTTCTTTCAAATAGATTGGTTTGTTTTCCATGAGCCATTGCTTAGCTATTCCAAAGTGCAGCAAAATTTTCCTTGAATAAATGCTTATACTTTTTAGACTGAATTTCTATTTAAAGATATTAGTTTCTTGCACTTTCAAGCACATGGCCAGTGTAATACCATATGTTATGGTTCATTTTTATCTTCACATACTGTAGTTATTTATAACTAAAAGTTACTTGTATTTGCATCACTTCCCAGCAGTTTGCATGATTTTTCCAGGTATGTTAATCATATCTAGAGCCATTTAATGGATAGCATGTCACTGTAACTAGTATAAAATTCTTCAGAGGGCAGTGAGTGGAGAGCAGTTCCTTTTTTTAACCCTTTAACACCTTAGAGTGATAAGCATCTAATTTCTCCCAAAAGTATCACCCCTGAATTAAAAATAAAGGTCATGATTGATGGGTAGACAAATTCTCCTTGTAAGTAACATAGGAAACAAATACAAAACAGTATGGAGAACTTGTATACTGATGTAAGGAGTCGAGGGTAAAAGATTTACATGTACATTTACAAATGTTATGCTGATCAACAGAGTTTGAAATTCATGTTTTAATTTTTTCTGGCTTCATGTATCTGTTGTTAGCAACTACACAGATGCCATACTAAAACTCAATAAATCAACTTCTGTGTTAATGTACATTATACCACAGTGTATTTTATAATTTCAGGGTTCATACTGTTTCAAACTTATGGACTCCAATGACTATTGATGACACTTTCTTGAAAGACATTTATAAAGTTCTCACATGACATTTGTCTGAGATGTTGGTTTCAAAGTATAACTTAAGAATAATATCTTCATATTACATTGATTGTTGCTAATTTCATTCATTCCAGCCAGACCTAGAAAGTTGTCTTGTAATTCCATGACTTTTAAGTTTTTCCATGCTCTGTTAATGCTCTCACATGCTTATCTTCAATGATGTTGAAATAAGACTATGTATTAAAGTGGATTCTCTCAGACTATGGACTGGATTAAATCTCTTACACTTTTTTAACAAAATGAACTTGAATGATGTTGAAATAAAATTCAAGTTGATTCCCTCAGACTAAGGACTGGATTAAATCTCCTACACTTTTTTAAAAAAATTAAATAACAGCAGGCTATTGTTAAACACAGTTAACTCTCCTTTTTTATTTTTATTGAAAAACAAATATGCTACATTTTATGTACGTAAATGTTTTTAAGGTTGTTTTGGAGTTCATGTCTATTCCATCTGTGGTGTGAGGAGAAAGTAATTATTCACCTTCATTACTTCTGTCAGTTCTATTTTGATCATTATACTTCTAAGAACCATAAATGCACCTTGTTCCCTCCAGCTGAGGCACATACAGGTAAAAAAGGGTGCCATGAAAGTCCTCCTCCAGTCGGCATCTGGCATGACACAGGGATCTTGCAAGAAAAATTTGGAACATTTTAATTCAGTGTTTAAAAACCAAGAGCAGAGTAACAACACTGAGCAATGAATGATGGCAATTGAACTGAGAACAGTGCAATATTTACTTTGAAATCAAACTTGTGATTTCAAAATCAAATTCACATGAAAAAAGCATCACAGAAATCAAGACAGGCCAAACTTGATGGTGTGCACTATTTGTAATTTGCACTTGTGTTAAAAGTTTGCTCTTGTGTCAGAAGCAGGTTATTTTTTTATGTACTTTATTAATAAAATTACAACGTAAATCCCAACAGATGATTTAGAGGACATTTTGAGAAGTCCAAATTTAAACCTGGTTGGCACGAGGAGTTTTCTTTCAGCTGAAGGTAGAGTAAGTGCCTACTTTAGCTGGGCAATAAAAATACGCAAACATTCAAACCTGCAATTTACCCTTATTCCTCCTAAATATACTGCTTCAACAACAAATCTCACTTAGTTTCCAGCAGAAATTTCAGTTACCTTTTCTCACAAAACAAAAGCCAACCACAACTTACATAAAATCCCAACAAATCTTTTCAATACTCATGGTAGTAAGACTTAAACAATATACAGCATAGTACTTCATCTGATAGTGTTACCTTGCTTGTAAATTAGGAAGATAAAGAGTAACATGGATCAGAAAAAACCTCAACCCACCTTGTGGTGCCCCATGTGATAAACATTGATGTGGTTACCAGGACGACCAGTGGTAGCAAACAGATTCTCATGCACATGTGACCATCTATGGAGTAAAACAACAGGTTGAAGTGAATTTTGTTAAGTTACTCATTTTGGCAACGAGTCAGTATAAAAACTCTGTTATTATGGACTGGACTCATCCTATCATTCAGTAAATCTCATAAAGCCTAATCAGAATTCATACTATTTGCTAACACTTCTTGAATCCCAAACATAAAATTAAGCTATGTAATCCACTGTGTCAAGAGTCAATTCGTTTCTTGGTGTTGCAGATTACTATTAGTATTGGCAGCCAAAGGATTATAACAACCATCAAATATAGGAAATTTATGGCAAACACTGGAAACAAACATATAACATTCTGCGCAATTCAATTACCTAAATTTGCATACTCCTTTTAAATGAGCCTGTTCTGCAACTTCTGGTAGACTGTGATGAAATCAATAATTCATAAAAATTATCATTTAAAAGAACTATAAATTGAAAGTAGTAATTAAGTATCATGTAATCATTTTCTCATACCATAGTTGCTTCAAGTGTGGATCCTAATGCTTCAACTATGGACTGATAGTTGTATTCAAGTGAAATGGTCAACTGGTTTACTCATCACCTCATAGAGCATTGTGCACCTCCTCTCACTTTTTTTTTTCATGCACTACCAGTCTCAACTGTTTTAAACATGTATTTAAAAATGTCTCTTTTATACTTCTTGACTCTCTCCTGCAAAGATCTTTCAGTCTGGCTGATGTAAATGTAGTGTATTTACATGTTAATTAAAACTAAAATACCTCTATAGGACAGAATCTTAACTATGATGTAAATATTGTTTTATACAGGGGTTTCACTAAAAGCCAGGCACAGGCCATCTAACACCACGTTTAAGACCTCTTACTGTGGTGTGCCTGCTTGAAGGTTCTTGTGTTTGGGTTTCACCTTATGGCACTTGGCAAAATCAGCTGCTCATGGAAAAAGTTATTGAAACCACTGTCTGTGGTTAAAATAACTATCAAAATTTTTGAGAGGAGATCCAAACTTAAGATATATTCATAGGATGCATTGAACATTATCAGTCAAGTGAAGTGAAAACCAATTTGACAAACATACCTTGACTTTGACATATCCCAGATAAGCCAGTCATCCCTAGCTACTGCTCCAACTTTCAGAGCATTGGCCTTACACCAATCAGCTGAGATAAGAGGAAGTTGCTCAGTGCTGAGAGACATGATGGGCTGCTGGCTCACCAAGTCATAAAATCTTATTATTCCATTCTTTTCAGCCACCATCAGCTGTTGTCAAATAGTAGAAATTAAATATTATGGTTATTCTATAATTAAAAAAAAATGAAAAATATTTGGATCAATATCAGTATCTGGGCAACTGCCCACCTACCCCTCCCCTAACTCAACAAGAGTCAATTGATAACAAGTTAGGGTTAATGTTGGGTTAGGGGAGGGGTAGGTGGACAGTTGCCCAGATACTGATATTGATTCAAATATTTAATAGTCTTCCTAAGTGGCCTTTTAGAATAAATATCATCCAGTTTTTAATAGGAAATAGAGGGGCACTTGACCAACCTTTCTGGGCTAAAACATATTTTTTTCTATCATTCTTCAGTACACACCATTTACATCAAGTAGTCAATGTTTTCCCCCTCTTTCTTTAAACTACAGTGTGTTATTTTATTTTACTTCAGAGATTTTCATAATTATGTAATAAATTTTTAAGACGTGTTCAACTTACCCCACCAGTTGCCTTAAATTAATATGTCATGTCAAGAGTGAAAATCTTAACTCTACTCTTATGACACTTCCTAAGCATAACTACTCTAGTCCCAAGATTCCAAATTTGTTGCATTCATAATTAAAATCCAAGGATGATATCAGACCAGGAGTGTTAGTATTTCAGAGTAATAAATAGGGAATCATAGTAATCATTCACAGTAGCCCATAGAGGACATGCCACATTTTTTTTTATCTTGCAATAAATGAGATTTACAAATAAAAATATCATGCAATAAATTAAAAATTATTGCGCTATATTTTGATTTTTCCATGGGATAAATGAGATTTATCATGCAAGAAAAAAATGACTGGCACGTCCTCTATGGACCATGGTAATCATTACCTCAATTTAACCCTTTTAACTCCTATAAGTGACCAAAACATAATTTCTCATCACAATATCAGTAGATGCATACCAGTAATGAGAATAAAGAAAACATCAACCAAGGGATTATTAGTTAATCCAATACCAAATTATCCAAACTAACATGACAAGAATTGTATGAGGAGCAGTAAGGAGAATAACTAACAAGATCTTCAGAGTGAAAGGGTTAACACACTGATGACAGACATACAGACTGACAATTAACCCTTTAAATCCCACGATTGAAGTTTTAATTCTCCCCTCAAGCTGCTACACCTTTCCTTGTAAATTAGTTACAAGAATTTGGTGTTATATCAAGAGAACAACTTCAACCTGATAAGTTTGAGTATTCTCATAACCTGTTAGCTGGGTAATGAGTGGATATTATGGGGAGAAGTTACATATTAATCACATCTGCGAGTTAAAAGGATACATGAGAAATGAAAGACATTCTCAATAAAGAGGTATTGTCATGACATAACACCCAATATTTGGACTTAAAATAAGACAACTACATTAATTGAATGTTATTTTTGCAAGGACATAGATAAAATTTGTCATTACATTCAAATCATTCATATTAACCTTGTTTGGTTCAACAGGATTCCATTTAACACTCATTCCAGCTGACCCAAGAGGAATGGATGTCTTTTGTGCTCCAGTCTCCAGATCCCACAGCCGACAAGTATGATCATCTGTTAAAAAGTATGTATATTAAAAATTGGCTGATGTTCGATCTATTCTTGAATCAAACAAACTTTTTGCAACCTTATGTGTCTGAGGTCTAATAATTTTATCCATATCAGAACAAAACCTGAAATATCATCAGAACTGTCAACAAGTTTGAAAGTGGAAGGCAGTAAGAAATAAAAGACAGCCAGGTTATAGTGGATGCCTTGTTGTTTGGTCAGATTTATACAGGACTGGTAACTATTCATTTACAAAGTCCCAGGGACTCTACAAAGTTTGCAAGAATCTCTAAGAAAATTCTGAGGGTGAAAACTTTCAACAAAACTATCTTAACCTGTCTCCAGTGAATTTAGCATTCAATTCTACTTAAATCTTGGAATTGTTTGTTTCACAAATTTCTTCAATATTTCAATAGTAAAAAGTAAAGCCTTTATACGGGCCCAAGTGGCCCATGGGGCCAGTGCTTAACTCCAGTTTTCTTAGTATGAAGCGGCTAGGAGTATTGCTACTCCCCCCCTGGATGGGATGCTATGGGATGCTTTTTCCCTTTTATTGGCAGTTATCAAATGGTAAAATGAGTTGAAAGTAACCTGTTAAGGGCAGACTAGTCAGAGGTTTGGGACCATAACCGGTTCTCAGTGACAGCTCTGTATCATTGCAATCCTTTGTATTTAGTAAAATCATAATTTCAATCCTAGAAAAGCTTGTAAATGATAACTAAATTACAGAGAATGACTTGTCATATATAGCAGTAAATTAATTCAAAGTGCAGTAATTCCAACCCCCACCTCATTGTTTGGGGGATTTTAATGAGAAGAGTAAGGACACTTGTGTTGGGTTCAAAGCATAACGCAATGCTTATAGTGTGATAAAGTTTTATAAACATACCAAGAACCTCAATCCAAGGATAACAAACCAAGCCCAAAAATCCTCCTAAACAGATGTATATTGTATACCCACTACCACCTACCAGCTTCAAAGTCTGTTGTACACGACAACCTACAGATCATAATAACTACTGTTACTTACCACTAACACTAGCCACATTGAGGCCAGTTACTGGTTCAATAACACAATCATTAACGTAACTTAGATGTCCTTCTAAAGTGGTCACTGTTGATGAATCCCTGCCATCAGAAATGAAATAACGAAGCTTTCTATCTTCTCCTGCTGTACAGAACCTAAAATATGTTGGAATTTTTCATTAGCATTATAAAAAACCTGGATGGTGAGCCAATGAATGAAACAGGATCCAGTTTTGATAAACATGTCAAGAAAACTTTTTGTTTTTTGAAGACCCTATTCATTACTGAACACCTTTTCAGGTAAAAAAAAAATAAAAAATGTTTTTCTAAGACATCAAAAGATATCACAGATTGCAGGCAGTAACAAATCACTCACAGATTATGTAGTATTCAGTTTCTTGTCGGAATCAATATGTGTATTTCTTATTCATATCCAGACTGCAGCTTTATTAAGGTATCAAATGGAGAGAGTTGTTTTGGCGAAGGATCTTTTCTGTCTTAACTATTATGCATTACAATCAGAGCTACCTTCAAACATTCACTCACTGGAAAGAATAAGGTAAGTGTTGAATGTTTGTTTTAGGAGACCAGGCAATAGACAGAACACTTGTTCCATGATGAAAATCTGTGATATGTTTAAACTGCAGAAGAGGAAGGTGACTGTCTTGGGCCTCCTCTTGGAAAAGACACATGCCCAGTGCTACTCTGTTTTCGCCACCATAAGCAATAAGACCTGCTGCCTTATCAAATGGACAGAACTCTACGACATTCACATCTTGCACACTCTCGAATGAAAATGTGCTCGGTACAGCTCCATTTGCCGAAGGCATTTTGTTCCTGCAAAATTTAGAACAATTCCAAATTCAACAGACTGTAAATTAATTGAGTTAGATATGACACTATGAAATTTTAGGCAAGTTTATAGCCCTAAACTAGACTTAAAAATCAAGAACCATTCAGCTCTTGAGCGGTTTATAAGTACACATGGAATGCTGTGGGCGACCGTGAGTTGCGACCTTCACCTAGATACAGTTCTCAGATAAAAAAAATCAAAATTCTATCAATGGACTTCTTTGAACGTGAAAGTCGACCTACCCTTACTATATGTGCTCCGTTCCTTTGGAATTACAGAAAGTTACTGACACATGCCACTGGCGCCATTTTCAAGGCTCGAGAACTGCAAAATCGAGCAGGCGTTCCAAACGATGAGAAATGTGTAGACTGGAAACGAGTGAAATAATGATTCCACCAGACATTCACCCTATCCTTGTCTGAATCAAAGATTAGCAAGGTCGCAATAAGACCAGAATACCGAGAAGAAAAAATTATCATGAAAGAGTTAATAGGAGTTCATTAAAAACCAGCGTTTGTTATCGGAGCAAAATGGGGTGCTATTAATTGTTTCAGCCCTATGGCCTTTTTCCGTGGTGAAATTAACATGGTTTACCTCGCAACTACGAAAACTCGTTTTAGATGCGCGTACTAGTTTGTAGGGGTGGTAATAACTTAAATTTATTTTTTCAGTTGGCTTCAATTGGTGCCCTTGCGAAAAGACGGTAGTCCACGGTAGTCTGAACATTTGAAGTTGAAATATGAAGTGTAACGATAATGTTGCTCATAGAGGAAATGCCTATCTTGCTACGCTCCCTATGCATGAAAATGCTGAGACTCCTTTATCTTAAAATTCAGTGCCCATTGGAAATATCATGGTCATTTTTGCGATTTGCTCTTCTAGTTTCGATAAGAAGGTAGATAACGTGGGAAAGTTTAAAAAAAAACTGTGATGCTGCGGCGGTAGGGGATATCGCAAGAAATTTTTGTTTCATCAACTGAGGAGTTGATAATGTGAATTGGCCGCCATAGAGTGCTTTAGCCTTCTGTCAGAGCGAATAATGAAAGGCTAACTCTCGAAATGTAAGTTTCAGAAAACTTTTTACGGTGACCAATTTACATCATGAACTCAGTAGGTAAGAAGATGCTGCATTAGTCTATCATATGCACTAAGGGTGTGGAATATGAGTACGTAGACACGCCTTAGGCAGACTGCGGTTCAAATATGCGCGACTGCGCGTGTCTCTTTTCCATTCCGAGTGAGACAAATGAAAAATTAAACGCCTACGTGCAGGTTGACCTATAGACAAAACGAAGCATAATGACGCGTTTCCTGTCTTCGACTTTCCCGTTATTAGATCAACAGCCATGTGGACTATGTACGTAGACAAATGTTCAAGATCCCGGGGGAGACTTCTTTATTCTTGCTGCCCTTCTTGACATCCGCTGTACACATTCCCTTGTCTATAAATTATCCAAAAACAAAGCAGAATCACGCTAGTCCGATGCTTCAACAAATCAGATCTTCGCCGATTTGCGTAAATGCAGCCGGACACCCAGTTTTTCCCTCACGAAGCAAATTCAGCGTACACGTTGAATTTCACGAATCCTAAGCGTAACCGTGTACATGTACTTAGTTAAAATAAGTGACTGCAGCAAACGCGTGTCTCCTTACTGCGCCAGAATCGCCGAAGTAAAAGAAAGGGGTGACCTTACATACTGTACCAAAAATTTCAGAAGTAGAAAAATTAAACTAGTTTCCTGGGAAGAGATTTCAAAGCCGAAAACTCAGCAGATCTGAGGTTGATCTCGTATCAGATGAATTTGGCTATATATCCGTCTTTCACCCGACTGAAATATCCCTTAGATATTTGTTTAATCGTGAATGAACGACAGGCGATAAATGTTCCAGTCGAAATGAGACTATTTCAGACGCTGACTTGTTAGTGTGTTAAGGTTGTATCATCAGTCTTCCGTAACTATTATAAGACACCACGTGACCACAAGTGACGGTACAGAAGACATAAAAAGACTGGAGAAGAGTTAGTGTTACTATCTTGAGCAGTTTGTTGCATTGCTGAAATCAATGCAATCCATAGTGTAAGTCACAAAATCGGAAAATTTCTACCGTTAAATGTTTTATTTTCCAAATAAATTCCGTCTTTGTTATGATTCCCGTGGCTCAATCGTCGTATTCTATTGATAACAGGATTATTCCACTGAGCTATATACGTCTATTAACGTATCTAGACGCCTTTTTTCTTTAAGTTGTTTTTGCTTGCCGCGTGTCTTTTGAAAGGTTTCTGCTCACGTCTCATTAAATTTCTATTGTGTGTTTGATCAAGAAACTTCCTCCCATGCAACACCTGCTACCTTTAAAGGCATGAGATAATTGAATAATTCTTAAGGATATATATATATCAAAGTAAACAATACAACTTTTTTTAATGAATCGAAACACAACGAAACTATCTTCGGGCGCATCATAAAAATTTAGTTATGCTGTAAGATTTTCATCGGATCGCTGCAATCTCTCCGACGAAAATTTTATTTCCATGAAGGGAATTTTTGAACGGGCGAAGATTAAGTATTTTTTTTAATTAACCAGTTCTCAATTTCAATGATGAAAATTATTAAATCAATGTTAAATTTAAACATGGCAAAATAAAACATTTAACACTCAGCTGGTCATAAAATGAGCAATTTTTTGGTTGGCCTCGTTAAATTTTTTGAACAAAAAGTGTTAAGAATTGATTTAGTCGAGTTAAAGTTCTTGTTCTTTATGTAAAAGAGGAAATTCTATGGGGAGGTAAGTACAGCATAAAGATTATTTGTATCCGGCACTTCACCTCAACTCGCATAAAGATACGATTTACACAACAATGAAAATAAATAATACATGAGAGCTGGTAAATAGGCTCTGAGTTGAGTTATTAGACAGTGATACGGGATTGGCTTTACAGAACTCCGTGAATGTGATTTTAAAAACATCCGCACCGACGACACTGAAGTGAACAGCGAGAATGGATATCAAAACCGAGCAAGAGTTTGACGTTTCTGAAGAAAGTATGTCTGAACTGTTGAAATTGTCAGTTGAATCGACGCGACGTGATTTAAAAACAACGAACATCCTACTGCTTAGCAGGAAGAGATCTCAACCAACGGAAGACGCGGACGGCGAACTTAGTATCAAGAAAAGATCAAAAAAGAAAACTTGCGTGAGCGCCGCTAGTTTAGCGTTTCAGATGGAACCTTCAGCGGTCGCGCGAAGAAACGAACGCGAAAGAAACAGGGTAAGAATGGTGAACGATGGCTTTTCTTGCCTTCGACAGCATATTCCTTATTTCCCCGACAAAAAGAAACTGTCCAAGGTAGAAACCCTGCGATGCGCAGTTGCTTATATCAAACATCTACAAGATCTAATAACCGAGCACGACTCCTCGTCTGCCGAATCCTTAGCGAACTCGGAAAACGAGTGTAAAAATATAACGACTTGGGTGACAGGGCAAACACGATGAAAAGATTTCGAGGTAAGTTGCATTTTCTGACAGCTTTTACGTAGTTATTACTACCAGAACTGCACGTGTTTTTAAAACGGGTGGCAAACGTTACCTGCTTCTGAAAAAACGGCTTTAATATATGGTGATGCTGGCCGATCTTCCTTATCGCCAGGCAAAGCTCAATTTATGGACAGGGATGTGCGTTATAGCGCTTGAGAATTTTACTATTGCATGAAATAATTGTACAAGATTGTCTTAGTGTACCAGCCATTTAACACACGGGTGTAAGTTTTTAGGCTCTACATCATGCAAAACTTGGGCGTAAGAGAGAATGAAAATTTTATATCATTGATCTAAAAACAAATTGAGCATCATATCTACTGAATATGTTACTTTGTCACTCAGTTTGACTTTGAAATTGAATCATTTCTCTATAACTAAGAAATTCTTTCGTACAGAGGTTTAAATAAACAACTAGTGAGAAAGAATCTAAAAAAAAAAATAATATTCGACAATTTCCTGAAATATATATGCAATTTTCTGATTTTTTTTCTTGCTTTAATCTTTCATACAAAGCTCTGTTTTATCTTGTTTTGCTTTACCAATCCCACCATACGATATTGTTTCCATTTTCCCACAGGAACTGGGAAAACATCGCAAAGTGTTCTCAAGTTCATCAGTGTCATGCAACGCCTGCCTTGTTTAAGGCCACGAAACGTCTTAACAGCTATTAATACAACGTTGACATTAGTAAATATTTTGTAAAAATCTATGTAACCTATTTTTTTCTGTCATTCTCGATTTAACTGCCATCACCAGACAAGCAGGGTGAGTTCTGACACTTTCACTTCTTCTCCTTTATTTACTACCGTGGCTTAACAGCGGTTATTGTTTTGCTGTGAATAGCCTAAATAAATTTTCTTTTGAAGTGAGAACAAAGGCGACTTGGAAACAAAAGCTATGGAATTCTACTCAGATGTTTTAACGCCGTTATTGTTGGCGAGAGAAAAAAAAAGACCGAATAAAAGATTTTAAAAAGAGAGTGTTCTTTGGCTAAAACTTTTCGACTAAAAGAAGTTTTCGGCCAACAGTATGGATATTTAGCGTCTTCTTTTAGTGAATATTTATATCTGGCGGACGCTATTAGAAATTATCATTTTCTCTCTTACCCTGGGCAAGAGACAAATTTTTAGATTTAAAAAGAAGACTACTGAAAAATTGTCTTTTTTCTAAGTTATATTCCGATATTTATTAGAGGTGGAATACGGTATCCTTTGCAGAGATAAAATATAGCAATACGACCCTTTGAAGTTGATTGTACTGAATAAAGAGAAAAGAATGCCAGATTTATGACTTTTAAATATGACAGACATTAGTAAAGCGTTATTATCTCGTCTGGAAATAAGATGAATGGAGACAGGCCTCACAACATGGAAATTTCTCACCAGAAGAGATTGCCGGTAGCACGCGGGATTGCGTGTTCCAATAGTCCTTCTAAATTTATCTTTGTGGTTAGCTTGGGAACTTTCTCGCAGACTCTTTTCTTTTCTGGTCTGTCAAAAGAATTCCATTTCTTTGAAGTTGCATGCCTGATTAAAAATGTGCTTCAAATTCGTTTCGACGTTCGTGAACACATTCTGTTGTTTCTTTATTGAAAGATCTTTTGAATAAATAATGTTTAGATCTACCACAAGCTTACGTTCGCAAGGGAAAGGAGCATGCAGCGACAAGTACAATTTTGCAATCTTTAAGATCCGTTCAAATGTTATCTGATAGAGAAAGTTACAAACCATTTGCATAAGAGAAAACATGCGACTCATGTGACATTAAACGACAACTTCATAATCATACTAAAGAAACAAGAAAATAAAA